CTAGGTCCTGAAATCCCCGAAAATTTTATGTTGTGGATTGTTTACTTAGCCTATTTCAAACATCTGGTTGAAAGGAAACCAACCTAATGTCTTACCGTTCCCGAGAAAAGACGAAAAATCCCCGCTTGTTTACATCGGACATGACGGAGTACGAATACGTTTTTTGTGTCGTTCTCAGTGTACGATATACACGTGTGTCTCGGAAACAGCGCGCGGTGACCAATCGCCAATGCAAAAAAAAGTGGTTTCTTCGACGTCCACAAAAGGCGAACACGATACGAATGAAATCACAACTAGCATCCAAACGGCTCAAATTTATGGGGTCGCAAAAGTGGACCCCGAAATTTGTTCTCACACGCATAATACAGGAATAACACAAAAACGCCCAGTTTTGAAAGGATAGTTGTGTGGATGTTTATATCCTACTTTTAAATGTTATTTCCAATTAACATCATCTCGTTCAAAGTGCGTTTTGTAGCCCAATTGGGCTGTTCCAGGACCTACATTTTACATGTAGTGTTCCTTAAACTTGTCAATGACTGATTTTATGCATGAGCTCATTTAGAAAGAGTCATCCCATAAATCCCAAGGCTTGGGATGATCTTCAGAATCTGAATGTGTGACAGTTCATTGCACTTTCGATGAATTATGGTAAAGCACGTGTAAATGCTGTATGACACAGTGTAATGGATATCCGGTTCGCACAATTGTAACATAGTTTTCGTGTGTAATAATATGAATCCAATGCTCTTTGCCCTCTTTATTCTGCCACTTTTGCGGGTTTGGTAGGTAACAAAATTCAAGGAAACAACAAAAACAAATTATAGATCTCTGTTTTTTTTTAATCAAAATAGCAAATTTCAGTTTCTGTGCTTAGAAAATTTCCATTTCTGTTGTGTAGCAAATTTCAATTTCTGTGCTTTAATAGTAAATTTGAATTTCTGTGCTGAGCATATTTTGCAGTTTTGTGCTAGCCATTTCAATTTCAGTGCTTAGCAAATTTCAGTTTCTGTGCTTTGTAGCAAATTTCAGTTTGTATGCTTAGCACATTTCGATTTCTGTTGCATAGCATTTTTCAGTTTCTGTGCTTAGCAAATTTGACTTTCTGTGCTTAGCATATTTTGCACTTTCTGTGCTTAGCCATTTCAATCTGGTAGTTGACAAAATTCAAGGAAACAACAACAAAAAATTATAGATCTCTGTGTAATTTTACTTAATCATAATAGCAAATTTCAGTTTCTGTGCTTAGCAATGTCAGTTTATGTGCTTAACTAATTTCTGTGCTTAGCAAATTTCAGTATTGTGCTTGTTAAGTTTCATTTTCTGGGCTGAGCAAGTTTACTTTCTGTGCTTACCAAATTTCAATTTCTGTGCCAACCGCATCTCTGTGCTTAGCAAATTTCAGTTGCTGTGCTTAGCAGCCTTAATGAAGATGAACCCTCATCAGTTCAGAGTTAAGCTGGAAACACTAGATAAACTGAGATACAGAGGGGAATTCCTGTTATCTGCCTCACCCATTTTTTTTCATAGCTGCAACAATATGTCCTTCCTCTCGGGAAGTTGAATCAAGAAAGTCAATCGTTTTTTTTTTGCTGGTTTGATAAGAAAACATTATTTTGGAGGAAGCAATCATTGTAGGAAGTGTGCCCTTCCTCCTGATAAGTGATTAGCACAAAACACAGACTGGTGGACGGCTTGTTTTGTTTCACTGGGGCTGTCAACATTGGTTGGTCATTAATGTGGAAAGATTATTGTATTGCGGAATAAAGTTGGGACTATTCAGTTGTTTCTCTACGTGATACTCTACCCCCCCCACACTGTTATTGCTTGTAACGAACCTGTTATTTGCCTTCGAAACACATAACTGTGCAAGAATATAATACAGCCTTTTACATTGTCCAGAATATCCTTGTTCAATGTTGGACCTGGTTGTCCAACACAGAGAGATTTCAGGGAGCCCTTTTACACTAGCAATATTCCAACATGGCTTCTACCGGTTCCAGCACCCGGCATGGGTGAAAGCCAACCCTGCACCTGATTTCACGAAGCGCTGCGACGTGTCGCAACCTGAGTCACGACGTGTAACACGTCGCAACTCGCGAAGCATCGTACATGTATGATCCATTTAACAAAACTTGCGATGTGTTGAACACATCTTAAGTTCCTTGACAACGGCTTCAAACACGTCACGTTATATGTGTCTTGTGGTACATTGCAAAATAAGAAACGTCTTTTTCTTTAATAGCCAGTTTCATGCCATATAAACGAGACTATAATACCATGACAATGTGTGGAAAAATAGAAAATGCATTGAATAATTATGAATTAGCCTGGAATTTTGCAGTTGAAATTTCAAAGTAGCTGCACAGTCCACTGAAAGCTTGTTTTCCTTTAAAATTGCATCGCATGTCCGCCATTTTGTTTTACATTTTGTAAATTTCGACAGATGACTATTTACTGTATGCTGAATAAATACATAAAACAGTCACCAGGCTGTGCTATTAAAAAATCTATGATGCGTCGCACTTACAACGTGTTTTGTGAAATTGATCGCAAGATACGTCGCATGATGCATCGTAAGTTACGATGAGTTTAATGAAATGGGATGCTGGTCAAGAGTATATAAGCTCCCCTTCAACGCTTGTGGTGAATTTTGAAAGGTGTTGGAGGGTGAATGCCGGTTTATACTCCACTTGAATTTTAGTGCCAACAATTTCATTATAAGGCAACGACGAACGTCATAATGAAAATTAAGTTATGTCATGAAATTTGTTTTGCTTTATTTTGTTTGTGTGGGGTATGAACTAGCTGTTGGGGATAATGAATATAAGATAGAAGGGAACCCTTTCTCTTTCGAAACATAAATTGAACAGAGTGTACAAATTGTACAAGCATACATGTGTATGTACCGTAAGTACTGGTAACCTCATTCCTATTATGGATCTTGTAAATGAGTATTGTACACGTGCATAATGTACATTATGTAAGTCATCTAAAATACAGATATTTTTAAATACAGATATTTATATTTATATAGTTTTAAAATTATTTATGTCGTCCTTGTACTCTCTCTGTATTGAATAAACTTAAATGTTTTTATGCAGTCTTAAAAAAAATTATTGCATATTTAAAAACAACTTTTGCTTCAAATAACAATATTGATCCATACCGATACATGTACAGTATGATAAACTGATGAGTAATTATATAGCTATGGCATGTATTACATGTACGAGTACCTGTAGGTATGTACAGCGGCCATAGACCATGTGCCCTGTGCCATCATGCCAGCAACCGCCGGGCAATCAAAACATGTAAGCATCTTCTGCATGTGATTTGTCAACATGTCAACAAGGTATATAACACTTTCAAAGATCAAACCATTCATATCTCAAGAGATATACCGGTTAGTGAAGAAGAGCAGCATTTGCTGAAAATTGTCGGTACGTGACCACAACATCCAATTTGTAAACAAATGTCACATCGTCTATAGGCCTACAATGGCTGTACACCCACGTTTGTTTATGGTGTAAATCGAGGATTTTCTTTTGTTCCTCTTCTATTTTCGCAACAGCTCTCATTGGTTTTGTACACGTTTTCTAATCGAGGTCATCCTCGATTTGGTTCCTGTCCTCAATTCACATGTGTGTGTCCTCGATTTACACCATAAACAAACTCATATACATGTATGTATGTTCAGTGTGTTTATTGTGTACATTGTACATGTATTGTTAAAAAGATGGGATATTGAGCATGATAACTCTGTGTTAACATATACATGTACCTATACCAAGGGCATGTAAAAGTTAGAATAGATCATTTGCAGCTATCCAAAAGAAACTGACCAAATTATTGTTAAAAAGCTTACTTGGTTTATATAGTAATGTAACTCCCTGTGAGTGTGAAATGATTCCTTCTGGCATGCTGTCATTTTGAAGAAAACAATTATAGGCGGCCATTTCCAAAGATGCGTCAAGTGACGTATTTTTGGAAATTTCCGTTAGCAGTTGGCTTGCAATTTGGTGAATCCATGAATGGGTGCGCACAAACGTTGACACGATGCACATACATGCACAGTTGCTATTATTTGTCGGTTCAGTGCGTGACATCGCGTAGCTGCAATCGGCTAAATGAGAATGTGTTCCGGATGCTGATTTTGGGCGCATTTCGAGGTATGGCTCGGCTACTTTTGAATTGAAATCAAGATCCTAGAATATTGTTTTCTTGGAATATACAGCATTCGCTGAGGTAAAAGTTCATCATGTTAGTTGTTTAGCACCCGTGTTTAGATTTTGAGCACTTTTGTTGCTTCAAATGTTAAAAATGCACAATTGACAAATGATCTACCCTACCGGTACCTTTAAATGGCAGCAGTTACATACATGAACATGTACCGCAGTGTATATAATGCACGTCAATGTACATTACTAAACTAACTTTAACCTTCTTACAAACATACATGTACATGAACATTGTATGTTGGTGATAAACACAACAATTAATGGTCCATGGAGTTTAAAAATTTATAGCCTAGTGCCTATACGAGTACATTGTATGCAATACATACGGTACATACCGGTATAGTGCATTGAAATCTCTCCACATGGAAGAACGTGTACATACATGTAATGTACATGTGTGTACATTGTCACACAACATTGATATGACATTGTACATGTAAGTGTATATCTTGTTGAAATTGTAGGTACCGGTAAATTGTAACATTTTCTATAAAGTACGGTACTTTTCATTGAGAAATGAAATTTGGTTATTTTACTACTTTTTCAAGTGTCAATTGTTCTTTATAATGTGAATCGGGAGTGCCAGCATTTAATCAAAAATATGTTCTTCGCTTGCCATAAAACTTGTCATGAAATTATCATCATTTGAAATTTCTTTTTATAACTTCAAAAATAACAAAAAGGTGGGGTTCTGTGGGTCATCATGATTTCATTTGTTCGTGATTGATTTATTTCTGGTTTTTCTTTTCCTGTCAACAGATACATGGGTATTGGTTTGTCAACAGAGGACTTTGTCAACAACATGAACAGACTTCCTGGTAGGAATTTAAGTGTTGATTCTGTAGTCAGTGCTGCACCCAAAAATGTGTCACTATTTTACTTCCTACTTATTTCTGACAACAACCTTGTAAAACAAGCTTGTCCATTTCTCACTATATCACACAAACCTGCCTAAGAACTTCTCACTGTACTGTACAAACCAGTATCCCAACTAATTTTCCCTGTATCAAGCAAAGCAACTCCACCCATTTGTCACTGTATCACACAAACTTTCCCCGCCTATTTCTCACTAGTACACAAACCTGACATGCCTATTTCACACTGTATCACACAAACCTACCCCGCCTATTTCTCACAAGTACACAAACCTGACATAGGCCCCGCCTATTTCTCACTGTATAACACGAACCTCACCCCACCTGTTTCACACTGTATCACACAAACCTACCCCGCCTATTTCTCACTAGTACACAAGCCTGACATGCCTGTTTCACACTGTATCACACAAACCTACCCGCCTATTTCTCACTAGTACACAAACCTGCTACGCCTATTTCACACTGTTTCACACGAGCCTCGCCCCACCTGGTTCACACTGTATCACGCAAACCTACCCCGCCTATTTCTCACTAGTACACAAACCTGACTTGCCTATTTCACACTGTATCACACAAACCTACCCCACCTATTTCTCACTGTATTACACGAATCTGCCACGTCTATTTCTCGCTGTGTTACACAAACCTGCCCCGCCTGTGTCACACTGTATCGCTCAAATCTACCCCACCTCTTTCTCACTGAATCACACAAACCTGCCATGCCTACATTGTATTTCTCACTGTATTACACAAACTTATCCCGCCTATTTTTCACTGTATCACACAAAATTACAACACCTATTTCACTCTGTATCACACAAACCTGCCCCACCCATTTGTCACTGTTTCACACAATCTTGCCTGTTTTTCTTAGTAGTACGTAAACCTGCCCCTCCTTTTGGTCAAGAGTATTAATTACGCAAACTTACTCTGCATATATTCTCGGAAACCAGCTTCACCAGCTTCTCAAGATAAACCCGCCCTGCGTATTTTTCACTGTATCATGCAAACTTGCCCCGCCTTTTTCAAACTGTATTTGCCCAAATGTACCGCTCCCTTTTTTCGCAGGTTTTTGCCCAAAACTGCCCCGCCTATTTCTCATTGCACTGCCAAACAGTACCCGGTACCTGTTTCGTCACCACACTGTGTTTCTCATTGTAGCATTTGTAAATGTTCTCTCATTATTTTGTACGATTTCACCAGGGTGGGACAAACATTCCTACGGTTACCATGGTGACAATGGCCACACATTCAACTCAGCAGGGAACGGGCAGTCGTACGGCCCGACGTTTACGACGGGCGACGTGGTAGGCTGCGGCGTCAACCTCATAGACAACACATGCTTCTACACCAAGAATGGCGTCAACCTGGGTGTAGCGTTCACAGATTTACCTGTGAGTGGAATGAACCCTTCCCATACCTCCAACCCTCTGCCTTCATCAACTCCCCCAATCATACCCTCCTCCCTTGCTCCAAGTAATAAAAATATCATAGGAATAAAGTACATGTTATTGACTCATAACTGTAAATTTCATGAATTTGTATACTCTATTCACAACTTGTTTTCATATAAGGCCAAAAAAATTCGGTTTCCAATTCGGTTTCTGGTATGGAGCTTGCCCCAAAAGTTGTGCGGCGACGCGGCTTTTTTCCCCCCCTCCCCTATTTTTTTTTCTTCAAATGTCGGCTGATGTTGCAGATGACGCTTCAATCCCCTTCGATCTCAAAAATATCCTTCAGAGTGGAGCTTGAGGTGACCTCAGTAAGGCCATAAGGCTTGAGAATTCTGCACCCACTTACGATCTCGATCGACATGAACATCAGTGAAATTTGGATAGTCAAGACAAAAATCAGAGAAAACGGTAATGCCAGACCATGGTCAGACCAAACATCGAAATCGTGCACGTGCTGCCAGGCTGGTCATTAGTCTACTCCCTTACATATTGCGCTAATTAAAAAGTGTTTACAGGTTCCAGATACACGACCATCACTCCCTCAGTCTGGCTTCAAAACACACAATTCAAAATTACAACACCGTCTGCAAATGGTGCCCGACCAATTTTAGTGCAAAATATATATAAAAACATGTTAAAATTGTGCAGCAGCAGGATTCCAGTCAAACCAGTTAGTTTGGCGGTTTTGAGACATCATCTTACATTGAAAAAAAACTTTAAAATTTTGCCGACTCGCATAGCTACGGCGATGTGTGCGCATACCAGAAACCAGATACTTTAAGCTTAACTGACATACAGATTCTTGTCATTTGATTGGTGGAACTCACGTGGCATTCATTATTGCTCCAATTCACGCTGGGGCTCAAAAAGTCCCATTCGCCCATGGTGAATGGGATTTAGTATTCAACGGTTAGGATTATTGTTGTTCCATGGCACGGTATTTGTGTGCAAATGCATGCTGGTGTGCGCGTTGAGCATTGCTCGAAGCGCGTATTGTTCCCAAAAGCCAGTAGCTACAGAGTTGGGCTCAAACATTTAGTGAAGGGGTGGTTTGGAAGAAAGAAATACATTCCCCACCGATTTTGTATTAAAAATGAAGTTCATTTAACTGTAAATCAAATGTCAGGCATCTACACATGTATGTCAGTTATATGAAACAATTATTGATTGGCTTTAAATTGTGAAATGAGAGGAATATACACGTATGTATCGCTCGGTAAAATCTGGACTTTTCCAGTTCACTCGGCTTCGGTGAAATAAAAAAGTCCAGATTTTACCTTGGGATAATATTCCTCCCATTCCACTCTGAGCCACTCAATATTTGTATACAACCGGTATATACACTCAAAAGAAGAATTGCATGTACAGTCAATTTTCATGAAAATTGACTATTATTGGTCTGTCTCTTGGATGAGAGAATCGTTACATAATGTGAATTTTATATCTTTTATTTCTGCTTAAAAAGCAATCTTGGGTATTTGTTCTCTGCTTAAAATAGAATAAGACACATGTAAATGTCTCAAGTTGTTTCCATGACAACTTCATCTACGGATCTCTAATGAGATATTGGCACAAGCCACGATTTGACGAGGAGGCCTTTTTGTGGGTTTATGCTTCCTATATTTTCTCCTTGTGAACACATGTTGGTTTCTCAAGAGGGATTTTGTTTTGAATAGATATTATGCTTTGCATGTATCTCAGGGGTGTTATTTGTCATTTGAATCTGCATGTACTTGTATTAACAGTGAATGCTCAAAAGGTTTACTCATGCCTTTCTGAGCAATATAAGACCATGGCCGTCTGACTCCGCCTTAACGCATAAGGTCTATAGAATGTCATTCTTGCAGTATTTTGTAAGATTTCCAATAAAGCTGGGCGGAATATACCGAATATTGGAATATGCGATCATCAGCAGAATATCGGTATAGCATTTTTTCGATTCAAATAGTCGGAAAAAAAAAATGTGAGCGGTTTCTTGGAAAATATAAAAAAAATTAAACAATATTATTTTGCTTGCTTCAGTTGCATGGTTTTATTGTTTGTCAAATGCCACATGTTTGTTAAAAACAACTATTGCGCACAATTAAAGGGTTTCCATGAGGAATATTAGATCAGTTTTCTTCTTGAAAATCAGTCAAATATCAGCCATTCCATTTCCTGTTCTTTATATGGTTTTAATAAGCTCTTTGTTAATTTTCGACAAGTGCAGGCTCATGCAAAACCTGATCGGTGGCAAGCTTAGGCGGGCACATGTTTGACTTGATCAGTGCATTTTGAAGTCGACTATGCGAGCATTCGATCAAGTCCAAGTTGGAATAATCAAATTATTTGAAAATGCACATCCCTAAATCTCAACCAGTGTTTGAAGATTTTTTTTTCTTTCCAAGGGCATTTTGTGTCATGGTTTGTCTGTGTGTTTTGACCCAAATCACATCTGCCCAGTGCCTTGACATGGAGCCGAATCGACAGATATCATGCTGGGCCGTCCTGACTGTTTGCCAGACTCTATTTTGATCACACTGCCAATTTATTATTATTATGTTTCAGTACTTTTAATGCTTGGGACACATTGGACACTCAATTATTTTACTGCTTGATGATTTATGTACAGAGCATTTTATTGTATTTTTACTGAAATTTAAAGTTCTTTTTTATTTGTGATGGACCCAAAATTGTGTGTGGGAAGAAAAAGAAAAAAAAATTCCAGTGCCCCAGTTTTAGACCCCTCTCAAACGACGCCATCTTCAGAAGAAAATTACAGCTGTGTTTTCAATGCCATCAGGTTCGTGTGCGCGCAGTGCAAAATGTTTTAAACGCGCGCATGTTGCTTGAAATTTCTTTGAAATATGGCACGGCACAGCCGATGTGCGTCACAAAAATACCCAAGCATGTGACAATCTGTAGGCAGTGACGTCATTTGAGAGAGACCTATTGGGTCTACCACTGAGCTAAATTTTCCACAGTTGTTATGCATCCTACTTAAGATTTTCAGCAATTTTGTTGCTTCAAGCGGGGAAAAAATACACAAAAAGCAAATTATGCTAGGTAAATGTACCTTTAAAACTCCACAGGTCTCCACAATTATTAAGATTGAAACTTATAACAGATAGTCCTTTCTAAACAGTTAGAAATAAACTGACTTACTAAACAAAGTTAGCCACAAGTGATTTTACCCACGGGTATGAATTCTCATTTTGAGGTTGAATTTAGACTTGAAACATGTGCAGTCCGACTTGATATTCCTGAACATGCCCAGACCATCTGTCAAATTGTTCGACAGGCTGGCAAACCTGAAAGTGGTTCCGTATGCCTCCGTTGCTCTACATATGGTGAACAAACTCTTCAGAAGTACAGGGGTAGTTTGACATTTGGGAAAGTTTCAGAATTTTTTTCTGTCTTCTGGACTATTTGGAAATGAATAAACATCCAGAATTACGACATGTAGAATGATGTTTGTCAACAGTATTTAAAAAAAAAAATTTAAGTTGAAGAAAGAAATTGACTAGAGGGGGTTGGAACCTACAACATCATAAATATTGGACCGTAGCTTTTCCAACTGAGCTGTCCACCCCTGTATGTTGACGGTTTCCTTATTTTGTCAACAACTTTGTTCAAGATGTGCTAGTCAGAAGCCATAAAACCCAGATGCCGTGTAGCCAAGGATCACGTGCAAACTTGCCAAAGTCACGATCCTAGCAACATAAGAAATGCTGAAAACCTCAAGAAATGGCAACACGCAAAATGGGATCACTCAGAGAGGATACAGCTTTTTTTTTATCACAGATTAAAACCACAAGAGATTAATTAGTTTTTTTCGGACAGTTCACCCATGCCAATCTGTATGAAGGAAGTCGAGTATTCTGGTACGTAAACACTTTAAATATTAAAAAAAAAATATCATTGTTTTCTGTCTTTCAGAGTAACCTCTACCCCACGGTGGGGCTTCAGACCCCCGGGGAGATTGTGGACACAAATTTTGGTCAGAATCCGTTTGTCTTCAATATAGATGACCTCATGCAGGTTAGTGGTTGTTTATGTTTCTCTTACGCCATTGACCACGTACTTTGTGGTAGTGTATAGTGTCCGGGCAAGAATAGTTGGCGTTGTCAAGCTCACTCATGTGAGCTAGGATCGGGCACATGGTGTGCATGCGCTGGTGAGTGCGTGTGAGTGGCCGAAGTGCACATGCCAAACTTAAAATGGTACGCATAAACCTGTCACGTGCACATGTAAGCATCTCACGAGACAGAAATGGCACCGAAGCAACTGTTAACAACGCTTGGAAGTAATACATTGTCTCATGTGCCTCAACCCGTGACCTGAATCCCACTCATTGTCTTTGGCATTGTTGATCTAATACAAGGTGACCTTTTCATGATTTCTTGATCTCCAGCCATATAATTGTGGCCTTTGGTCCATTTTTGTTGCTGGTTGGCCTGAATGTGTGCATTTATATTCTGTGTATTGGATAGGCATACATGTAATCTGCATGTATTTGTACCTTTTGAAGTGTGCACTTTAGAATTTTTCAGCCATGCACATCATGCATCTGTGCACTTTCATGTACGGTGTGTTGGACTTTTTTCCAGACATTTGGTTGTGCAGTCGTGGCTTAGATGGGTTATAAAGGGACATAATGTCCTGGAGTGCGCCCAATTGGGCTAAAAAAGGCATTTTAAACGAAATGGAAAGAGCATTTAAAACACTAGCATCCTTTAAAAACTGGGTGTTTTTGTGTTATTCTTGCGAGAACCATGCGAGAACGATTTTCGGGGGGTCAACATTTTGACTCTCAAAAGTCGAGCTGTTGGGTACTTGTTGGAATCCTGCATTTAGTGGGGCACAAAGGATTTGGCTGGGGGGGGGGGCGCTCACAATTTTGTTTTCAAATTATTTTTGGAAGTTTGAATTTTTTCAAAAAATGTTGCCCAAAATTTTGGAGATGGACTATTGGACGTTGGTGACGCCATTAACGCCCCTATTATACTACTCGAAAATAGAACACATACATATCACCACGGTCTAATCGTGGGACAAAAAAAAAATTAAGCCCCCTCCTAAAAAAAAAGGAAAATTGACAACCTCTTGGGGGAAGGTGTGCGCCACTGCCTGCATTACATTGCATTGCATTCTGCGGATGTGCAAGAAACAACACCTGTGTATTAGTGCTGTATGTATTATGTGACACACACAATGTAAACTGTACATTGAACTGATGTGGGCTGGAATTTAATTAACATGTGTGTATGCCAAAAAATGTCTTCTGCGTCCGATGTAAACAATCATTTTTACCCCTCAGCCGAGAGGCTCGAAGGGTATTGTCATCGCCTACAGCGTCTGTCCATCCGTCTGTCCGGCCGTTCTGACCATACCACCCTTGTGGGGTGATGTTCCTTTCAGGACACATCACCCCACTTTTTTCACAATAGAAAAACATCACCCCAGAAGGGACTCTTTAGAAAAAGGGATAATGGGAACACAATGCTATCACCCCACAATTCCGTCTGGCTGGAACGTCCGTCCGTGCTTACCACAGACCACTTGTGGGGTACCTGTCCTTTGTTCGAGGTACCCCGCAAATAAAATCTTTAGAAAAAAGGGTACCCGCAAGGAAATCTTTAGAAATAGGGACAATGGGACAACAATGGAGGTATCCGTTCCATTCACAAGTACCCCCTCACTGGCAAACAAAGTACAGTTGGGGGTGATCGACCGACGCCATCTTGCCTGACTGCAATTTTGCCGCAACGCGCGGCCGTACCTTTGCGTGTACATAGTTCAAATCCCCTGGTGTACGTGCATCACACACAAGGAACGGTGCGCGTCTACCAGCTAAATGTCCCGCCCATGGGACGTTGTTGCTAGGTAAAAGGGCGCCCTCTTTTGTTGGCACACGGAGCTCATACCCCAGAAGTCCATCTGGCTGGGATGTCCGTATGTCCGGGCAGCTTAGTTTCCGGATGATAACTTGAGTTAGAAATGTTGTTTGGGATTGCAACTTCGGTAGGGGGTTGCCCTGAGGAGTAGGCAAGTTGGGATGGGTTTTGAGGTCAAAAGGTAAAAGGTCAAGGTCACCGTGGTGAGTTAAAGGTACAATTTAAATGGTTTCTGGATGATAACTTGAGTTAGAAATGAGATTTTGCTGTCTAACTTTGGTAGGATGTTGCTCTTGGGAGAAGGCAAGTTGGGATTGGTTTTGGGGTCAAAAGGTCAAAGGTCAAGGTCACCGTGGTGAGTTAAAGGTAAATGGTTTCCGGATAACTTGAGTTGGAAATGAGATTGGTGTCTAACTTGGGTAGGGGGTTGCTCTTGGGTACAGGCAAGTTGGGATTGGTTCTGGGGTGAAAGGTCAAAGGTCAAGCTTACCATGTTTAGTTAAAGGTTAATGGTTTCCGGATGATAACTTGACTATGGCTGAGGGGTTTCAACAGCAACGCTGTTATTTTGTTCTCTGTCTTTTCTCGGAAACTGTAAGATATTTGGTTTGTTTCCTTTCAACCAGACCTTTGAAAACGGATAAGTAAACAATCCAAAACTACTTTTTTTTAAAAGGATTTCAGGCCGTAATGCTTCTTTGAAGTGGGAAGGGTCTTGATAATGGATGGATCTATTACAAAGTTTCTTTGAATAAAGAAAATGCGTGAATACAGCTTGGCAGTACAGATTGAATCAAATTTACGTAATGCTTGTTTTAGAATTCTGCTTTTGTTATGGAAATAAATGGAAAATCTCACAAATCCTTTGCCAAAACTAGGTGGGAAGTAGCACTTTTCCCAACAAACTACATGACATTTTGGGTAGTAAGCTGTTTTGCCAAGCAGACAATACTTTGAGCCTAGTGAATTTCCGTGATAAGCAGCACTGTGAAAATGTTCCCTAGGTGTTTTTAGGCTGATCTGAGAGTGAGTAATGTGTATTCCTATTTGAGCCTCGATTATTCACAGTGGCATGTTCCAAGTGTCCGGGTTCTGAGAATAAGTGCCAAATAGTGCAAGCACTGTGTGCACTGTTGATCTTTTGCTTCCCATTTTTATTGATTTATCTGCAGGAAATGCGGATGAAGACGTGCGCCACAATTTCCAGATTTCCTGTGCCAGACGACAAGGGGGAATGGCAAATGACGCTACACAGGTAGGCCTATGTGTGTAATGATGGGAATGGCTTGGCGGGGGCACGATATAGGGCGTTGTGTGGCCTAGTCACCAGCTGGGGCCAATTTGATGGCGCTGCTAAACACAAAAATTTGCTTAGGACAAAAAAGTATGGCTTATACATTTTGTAAAAGCAGGTTACCAGCCAAAACTCCACTTTATGTATATTGCTCATGTTTAGTATTCAGCTGTTGTTTGCTTAGCATGAAAATCACGTGGAGTTTTGGCTGGTAACCTGCTTTTATAAGCCAGACTTTTTTTGTGCTGAGCAGATTTTTGTGCTTAACAGCGCCGTGAAATGGGGCCCAGATAGTAGAGTGAGGACACTACTTTTCAACTGTACAGAAGCTCAAGGGTGAACTGTGGTTAGCCGTAGTTTGACTGAATTCACTGGTTACCAACAGCTACGCACATCATAATGTATAGCGGGGAGCCAGGCATGAGAAGCTTAATGATGATGTTTTAATTATTTTAAAGTTGAACAAAGAAATTGACTGGGGCGGGGTTTGAACCTGCAACGTCCCGATTGCCATTCCACTGCTTTGCCAACTGAGCTATCCAACCCTGTGTTGGCAGTTCCCCATTTTGTCTATGTCTTTGTTGAAGGGGCGCTAGTCAGAAGCCATAAACCACGATAAAATCCCGATGCTAGCAACATTAGCAATGCTGCCAACTTGGGAAATAGCAAACAGGGCTCACTCAGAGGGATAACTCGGAGATCACTCAGGGATGATGTGAGAGCAACATCCCTTACGATTCAACCACTTTTCCGAAGGTCCTTTGATCGAACTTGCTTCAAAGTGCATATTTTTTTTTGTATCCCTTATTTCAGAATGGTATCAACCTACCTAGTCCACCATGGCTACTGCTCAACAGCAGAGTGTTTTGCAAGGTGTACGGGTCAGACCATTGCGGAAGAGGTAGCAAGCATCAAAAACAGACAAAGTATGTTGAATTATTAGTGCTGCGTCTCATGTCTATTTGTTTTACTTCAGTATTAAATCCAACAATATTTCCACTGGCCAAAACAGCTGTAAATTCTTGCCCAGGTCATGAGATGTAAAAAGTCAGCACAAATTTTTTCCATTCTCCAACAAAGAAAATCCAACATTAATGTCCCATTTTTGGATCATGGTGGTTTCAGCAGAACTTTCATTATGCTGTCAGAGAACTCCCACCTTAAACCTTTTTACAAAGTATTTTCTCAAAGGCAGGGGTGGGATTTTTTTGGATGAGACGTTTTCATGAGACGTTTTCATCCCAGACTTTTTGTTTTTTTCCTTATGTCATTAATCAGAAGTTTATATGAAAGAATTGCAATGGGCAAATTTGTAGGAGTGCCTTTTTAGGCAAATACATCAATGTACCATAGACATCCTGTGATGCTCTGGGGGCTCTGCGAACACATAAATAAACCGACAGTGCACCTAATTTGGTCCTTGTACCTCCTAGATCCATCAAAATCCAATAGATGATTTTTTGAGGATTTTGAAGGATTGAGAAAGGTTCTTTAAGAGCCCAAGCCACCATCGTCACTCTTGCCCATGTTGATTGCCCATGGATCTTAAAAATTCAAAGAATATGTCATTGTCTTCCGGCACAGTGGTGGATTTTGGAGGATTTAAGAAAATGCCCAATAAAAATGTAAAGTGAGTAATTTGGTTAAGGCTTGACAATGTCCTGTTGATTTGATGTTGTTATTTTTAATGCGTTCTGAAATTGTTTAGAGAAGACACAAAATGAACAAATTGTAATTGTGTGGAGGTGCACAGTTGTTAACTGCAGTTTCGCCTTATGATGCAGGAATACAGAGGCTAGTCTTAGAGGGCCGCATGGGCGAAGCCATCGAGACAACCCAGAGACTATACCCGGGCTTGTTAGAACACAAGCCCAACCTTGAATTTATGCTCAAATGTCGCCAGTTTGTGGAAATGGTCAATGGGACGGACAGCGAGATCCGGAGCCTTCGGAGTCCGCGGTCTCGCTCCTCCAGCCGGCACGCCAGTCCGGCCATGAGTCCCCACCATGAGAGTATATCACTATCGACGTCCTCTTCCTCACACCACATGGAGATCCAATCGCATCAGGGAAGTAGTAGTAGTAGTAGTAGCCACATGCACAGCAAACTGGGCTCAGGGTCACCCAAGATCCACCATCAGTCAGACCAGGCCGGCACCTCAGACATGAACTCCCTGAACGGCTCCCCCAAAGGACAGATCATGAACGGGGGACCGCCGGCCAACAAGGACATCTCGCACGATCACGAAATAGACATGGACGTGGAGTACACACATCATCACCATCATCACCATGACGACAGGCCCAGGGACGTTGCAAGTACCAATGATAGGAACCGGCGGAACGGGGCGCCGGTAAGAAACGGCAGTGTGCCAGTTATGAATGGGTCCTGTCCTGTCGACGACATGGATACAGATGATATAGGTGAGGACACTAAAAATTGTTTTGCAACTTCCCTCCATTGATGGTGAATATTCAGTTAAAAGCACAATTGGAAAGCTGTTAGGACCCTCCATTTATAAACAGAAGAGGGCGCTAGCAACCTAAAACATGAGGTTGTGAAGGATGCGGCAAGATGGCATCTTGTGGTCCTTCAGTATTGGCACTTTTTCTCATTTTTGCCATTGAGCGGGATACTACCGCACACAGTCCATTGTCAAATTCTTGATGTGGCATCTTTTTTTTTTATACTGACATTATCAGTGTACTTGGACTTCACCTTGATGTTTACTCGGTGATGCAATAGTATACAAATATTGAGTGGCTCAGAGTGGAATGGGAGGAATATTATCGCAAGGTAAAATCTGGACTTTTCCATTTCACAAGGTGAAGCCGAGTGAACTGGAAAAGTCCGGATTTTACCGAGCGATAATATTCCTCCCATTTGCCAATTTAAAGCCACTCCATATTTGTTTTATATAACTGACATACATGTATATCCTTGTCATTTGATATATTTGATTATTTTTTCAATACAAAATTGGTGGGAAACGATTTCTCTCTTCTAAATCACCCCTTCACAAAAATGTTTGAACCCAACTCTGTAGCGCTGGCTCTTTGGAACAATATGCGCTACGCGCAATGCTGAACGCGCATACTAGCATGCATTTGCACACAAATTCCGGGTCATGGAACAAACATGATCCTAACTGTTAAATAGTAAATCTCATTCACCATGGGCGATTGGGACTTTTTGAGCCCTGGCGTGTATGGGAGTAATAACGAATGTCACGTGTCACGTGATGTGAGTTCCACCAATCAAATGACAAGGATCTGTTTGTCGGTTATATAACAAATGATGGCTACTTCCGCCTTCGCTTCTCGACACTGCCACCCCCGCACCCCAGGAAAAAACGGAACAATTCCAATGCTTACATGGACAATCAGAATAGTTTAACTCAGGCTAAAAAAAGTCTTATTTATTGACACGTTTTTTTTCCCCTGAAAACTCCCCCCCCCCCTTTCAGTTATAGAACCTCGTAGTATGAAGCGGCAGTTGTGTGGGGGCAATATGGCTGCAATAGAGCGCATGTTGTCCTTTGGTCGGGAGCTTCAGACCATGTATGACAGACTGTGCCGCGAGGTAGGACGGACCGATACCAACCAGAAAGCATTACAGGTAGGTTAGGCATTGAATATGCTAGCTTTAGAACTTAATTCCCCGACATTTATTATAATTACTGTATACCTCGTGCTGGCCGTGAGCTTGTGAAATTCATACGCTTGGGAGGGACTCAAACGCACGGCTCAACCTACTGAGTAAACAGTGCACACACCATACGTTGGCAAAGGGCAAAACCCAATATTACAGTTTATGTCTTCCCAATGCAAAAAATTCCATCTTTCAATATAGAGCGCTGTGGTCCAATGGTTATGGTGTCTGACGGATGTGTAATATGTGGGGAGTGGTGTGCATTTACGGGTAGTACGGGAACCAGGTAACCTATTGAAGTAAAACATGGGTACCCAGGTACCAGTAAAAGAAACCCAACCCCAAAATTCAATTCCTGGAAGTTGTCTGAAGGGCTTTATAGCTTGACGGTGTAAACTGCCATTTTCACGAGCGTCATCTGTCAAGCGTAAAAAAGCACATAAATGTGAAATCTGTTTTGGATTACCATGTAGCCTGCTTTCATTTTGAAAATTCCCCACAAATGGCATTCAAAACCTTTCTTTTTCATTGTCTGAGAAGTTACTAAGTAATTTGTAAAGTTGGTTACGGGTACCCAATCCCAAAATCTGGAACCGGTTCCTGACATCAGCGGTCGGGTACCCGGTTCCAATGCACGCTCCCATGCGCTGGTTCGAACCACTGTTGGAAAATGGGGAAAATGGTTCCTGTGTTATTGGGCAAGTAACTTAACCTAGATTGCCTGTTGCTTGCTCTGCATTACCTACAAATGGTCCTTTTCTCAGCCAGTTTTATGCCCTAAAAATTACATAAACGAGACTATAATACCGAGACAATGTGTAAAAGGTTGTAAAAGGAAAAGGCATTACCCTGGAATATTGCAGTTGTAGCTACAAAGTAGCTATCAGTCCACCGCAAGCTAATATTTTCTGTTGAAACTGCATTACTCATTTCCCATTATGTTTTACTTTAAAAAAAAACTTTTGGAGAGGAGTTCAGACGACTCTTTGTTGAATATCAGACAACTATTTAGGAGGAGTTCAGACGACTCTTTGTTGAATATCAGACAACTATTTACTGTACACTGAATAAATACATTCAACAGTCACCGTGTTGTGCAGTAAATACACGCGTTTTGTGAAATGAATCGCAGGACGCGTCGCAGCTGCGAAGCATCGTAGGGATACGAGTTTTGTAAACAGAAACAGGTCAACAGGTCAAACAAAACAGGTCAGATACAGGTAGGCAAGGTACCATTCACACTTGTGTTTGAACAGTATGGACACAGTTGTATGCAGGGGTCGGCTGTAGAGTTGGATTTTCTACCTGGGTAGAGCCTCTCAACCCTGGTCCAGACCAGGGTTGGATTTTACCTGTGCAAGGGGTTCCTGAAATCTCCATGTTGAACCCAGTTCAAACATGAAGGTTCTAGACTGTGTGAAAAGCCCTTTTGTGTGTCAAGCAGTTCAATAAAATTGTGAACCGTTTGTTTTTCATCCTCATTTCTTGCTGTTTTCTTTTGTTTCCAGGATGCATTCAGCCTGCTAGCCTATTCAGATCCATGGAGTAGTCCTGTGGGTTACCAGCTAGACCCGGTACTCAGAGAGCCAGTATGCGCTGCTCTCAATAGTGCCATACTAGGTAAGCGTTTTTGGTACCAACAATGTGTCTACTGTTTTAAGCCTCCAGTAGACTATGTGTATATTATCCACTTTTGAAAACTGCCCAGAAAGATCAGAGGGTTTGATTCTGATTTCACTATTAAATCAATCATTTTCAGCTTAGTTTTTGTGTTTACTGGCTGCAACTGTGGTTCTTTCTGTGAAAGTCTCAGAAATAGTCCCACAACCACTGTCGAAAGGTTTCCGTTTCGGGATTGGTAAATCTCACTTAAATAATATGAGTATTTGAATTTCTTTGATAGAAAAGGTCAGCATGCAGAAGGGTTACATTGCCAAAAAAAATGGATCCTGGTGGTCTTTTTTGCCTTTTCTGAAATGAACAAACTATCTGCTCTGATTGAGATGCGTTTCAACAATTGTTTTGTGATTGGAAATTGGTTGTAAGTCAATTCTCACAACTTCATAAAGTCGAAATTTCAAACTTCATATTAGAAAAAAAGAGAGGAAAAACCTGAAATTGTTCAGTAGCAGCTTACTTTTTATGGATGGTCCAATTTCCCTGCCTTCAAAAATTATCTGTTTATCAGAGTTGATGACTTGTGGTTGACCTGAACTCAGCTTTTTGTGAGGATAATGTACTGTTTTTCCCTGTCTTTTTCCCACCCTTATCCAAAACCCTGAAATCTTTCTACATCCATGTATTTTTCCCCTGTTGCAGAGTTACAAAACATGCCAAAGCACCAACTGTTAGGCTTTCAACTTGAACTAGGACTGGCTGACTTTTTATTTTGATATATGTACTTGCAATTGACCTATAATTGAATTGACCCTAACCCTGCATTTTATTTGACAAACGTTCCCTTTTTTTTTCTCTCACCCTTACCCCTGACTCGTTTTATGTTTTGTTTCAGAGTTGCAAAATATGCCGAAGCACCCACTGCTAGAGCTAGCCATAGGCCACACGATGGAGACCATGAAGCTCATGTCCAAATACGGCCCTGGCTCTTGTGCCTTCACCAGCGTCCAAAGCTTCATCCACTAACGCACACACACACACACACTCACCTGTGAGCCATAGCCGCTCACTATGTCCAAACTGGCAACAGTGGCTCACCGTCTCTCAAGTTCTTCATTTATTTTTATTTTATCTGGGGAGGGTAACGCTGAACCAGAGTGTGGACTTGGTTGCACAAGTTTCCCCTCAACGGTTACAAAGGGGGACATTCAAACGCATTGCTGTAACACCTGACCCTCATGCAAAGACGCTGTGGGCTCCATGCTTCAACAAAAGAGGGCGCGTTTTTACCACTTTTTGGGAGCCCCGTGGACGGGACACACAGCGGAGGAGTACTTGTGCACGGAGCCCATAGCTTTGTGGACATTCAGAATAAGATAAAAGTTGTGCGTACTTCGCGCTTAATGGGCGCGAACCAGTGCGGGCACGTGGCGTGTCCCGTCCATGGGGCTCTCGCAAGAGTGCCATCTAGTGTTTTTGCAAGGAGTCCATTTTCAGATACACTTTCTGCAAGTTTTGTCAGATGTCGTCGGTTGGACTTTTTCAGTTTTGACGTTTAAAGAAAGACAGCATTTGGCTTCACGGACGGTCTCCTACAAATTTTGGGTCCACTTTTTTTCCTGTACGTGTGACACCTGACATCTAAGAGTACATAATTCGGGATGCGCGCCTTAATGCAGTCGTCCTCCCGAGAGTGATTACGAATCGCAATTTACCGACCAAGAAATACAAAAATCATTTGAAGTCATTCCTAATGATACTTGGAATGGCATGTTATAAATGACCAAGGTAACAGGGACAGGAAAAATGTCACAAATCAGACCCTAAATTTATAGAATATGGATAAAGGTGTTAACGACCTATTAGAAGTAGGGAAGTCTTGTTCTGTGAATAAGGCACAGTGTGAGTTCAGAACATCTCAGTCCAGAAATAGTAGGTACTTCAGAGGCTTCCAAATGTAATTTGTGAGGCCTTTTGTGTCTTACTTTGAGGAAGGCTGTTAACCCCTCAAAGACGGGAGCAGTTATGGCCGCAGCCGCTAATCCTCACTGGAATGCAGTTGCCAGCTGTGGTATGCCGTGGCGCGCGGCCAGTGGGTAGTTCCACAACGGCTGCTTTCGAGCAGTCCCGCTACCACACAAAGGCTGTGCAGTCATGCAGGTCACTTGCTCTATGTATGGAGGAATGTCCCCATTACTCCCTGTTCTTTTATAAGGGGTTAACAGAGAGAGGTGTCCGCATTTTTTCACTTTTCCATCAACCACACCCTTGGTCGTGAAAATTGGGACAAAACTTCAAAATTGCTCCCTTTTCTTGATCTGAAATCAAATTGAGGGAAAACTTGTTGACAGGTGTGAAGATATCTTCACTGTAGATGGCCAACATATTGAATCCCATTCTAGTATGTTTAATTTCAGTCCAAATGTGTAGGAAAATGGGGTTAGTGAAGTTGGGCCAACAGTTCTAAGCTAAAATTTGCATGCAAATGCTACCTCACTCCAACAAGGTACCTTACTTTTGTCAAACTTTTTTTATGAATAGCCCAGCCAGCTTGTGCACAATCATATGACTCCCCAGAGGATGTGCAAATGACAAAAAAAATGCGCGTAGCAGCAATGATTCAGTGTAGTTAGATTGGTTCGTCTTTAAATTTACAGAAGACTTAAGCATTTTATGTTACACAGACGCACAGACGAAATGAAATCTCAATAGCAGGGGAGACACGTGCATTCCTCATACCTCAAAATTGTGTGACGTTATTCAACTTATCAGGGAGCAAACGTAGAGAGAGAGGGGCGTTGTAAATAACAGATCACACACTGGGTCCTTTGTATAAACTCACTCTTACTAGGCAAATCTCATTGTAATATTGCTGTAAATTTACAAATTTTTATGTAGAATTTCTCAGTTCCTTTGTATGTTCCCCCCCCCCCCTTGATTGAAGAATTCTCCTCTCTCCGATTTCCTTCCAGGCAAGCATAGGTGTCAGAACAGATTAATTAAGTTTTGTTGTTGAAAATAAAAATTAATTGCTGTGCATTTTGGACACAGCAAAACACTTGCATCCTAAACAGTGCAGCCACTACAATAAAATCACCCTTCATTCAATGGCAAAACCCTATGTACGGTACATCACTGTACACTCGTGAGGCCCCCTTCAATGGCGAAAGCATTGTACCAGCTATTGATCAGAAAATCCCTCATGGGCAGTTGCTTTGTACAACAACTTGCACAATTGTTTCTCCATTGGAGGGGGCCTCATGAGTGTACAGTGCAGGCGCAGATCCAGAGAGGGGGTTTTGGGGGTCGATTATCCCCCACCCCCCCACTCCCCCCCCATCTGTGACTCAAATTTGTTTTCATGGTTATACTCCTTCATTGCCCACTAGTGATTTAGATATTACACAGAAAAAAAAAGTGTGGCAAGGTATGGTTAGCAAGAGTGGGGCTCTTACATTTTTTTTTTCAATTTAAAAAAATGCCTGAAATTCTGTAATTGCTAGAAGACTTGGACAAGGGTAACAATGGTTGATTTGAAATTCAAACCCGGTTGTATAGTTTCGTCATACTACTGTAACTACTTGAAATTCTGTTTATTGTATTTTAATTTAAAATGACCCGAGTGTGAATTTTGTGGACATGTATTGAAGTTGCCAGAGTGTCAAACCAAGAAAATGCAATCAAAACGTTGTTTTTTTGTTTTTGTTTTGTTTTAAGTCCAACTTAAACGAAATTGTTTGAAATATGGCAGAAGTAATTTATGTTATTTGTAAATTTATAAATTACTGAGTAGTTTAGATGTTTTTAATGGATTAATTTTTTTGGCATATATAATCTGTACAATTTTATTCCATATTGGATCAGACTGGATACGTTCATACGTTGTCATTAATGCGCTATTGCTTTTTTTTTTGGTTGATTTTTTTCTTCGAAATAAGATTTGAGATGTGCACGGTAACTATCATGCCCCAGGATTACATGTATAATTTGGTTTCAGAAAAATGCATCGAAAATATTGGGTCGAATGTGTGCCAGTAGTGTATTTACTTCCATTGTCTTTGTATTTATTGCTGTGGATGTTTTTTGTTTATTTTTTTGTTTTTTCAAGTTTAAAATAATGTTACGATCTCCCTTTACATGTTGAATGATTGAAGATGCAAGCAATTAATAAACAAACCAATTTACATTTTCAGTCTGGGTGTCCTATTTACATCAGATAGCTTTGATTTTGCTTTTTCATGTGTTTTTTAAAAATTTTCCCCAAGACTAACTTAAGGGGACATGGGGCCTGTTTCATGGCGTGGATGTGCTAAGGGTTGCACGCTCATGGAGATTTCTATTGATATGTCATTAATTTAAGGTTTGCATGCCTTTTGCTGTTCAGCTAAGGAGAATATTACTGCTGACCACTCAGCAGTAATAGGCTTATCAAATTGAAAGAGAGGTAAAATCTTCAGTTTTGGAACTTGCGAATAGAAATGAAAGCAATGAAAAAAAGTTAATTACAAATTAAAACCAGTCTGCTCTGATGAATAATTTTTGATTAAACATCCCCTGTTTTACGCCATATTTAACTAATTTTTAAAGAGAGGTAAAATCTTCAGTTTTGGAACTTGCGAATAGAAATGAAAGCAATGAAAAAAAGTTAATTACAAATTAAAACCAGTCTGAATTACAAATTAAAACCAGTCTGCTCTGATGAATAATTTTTGATTAAACATCCCCTGTTTTACGCCATATTTAACAAAAAATTGAAAGTGATGCTTGGAACGTATAATATGTCTAGCACCATCCCATTCAAAAGTATATAATTTATAAAATACATTCAGGAACACAATCAAAAATGACTTCCTCATGAATAAGGTCCGTAGATGGATGCCCAGCAGAAAATGCTGTGCTAGGCAGTGCTGCAAAATGTGCCCTGTCTTCTTAACAAGTTGGTTTGTTCCAGATATTTTTTGTTTCAAGTTGTACACTAAAACAAGAATCAAGAGCAAGAGCATACTGATTTGATAAAGTGTGATCTTTGGAATTAAACCACTAGTTCATGCTAGTCATTTTTATTTCTTGTGGAATTTTTTTTCTTCGTCTGTACATAAATTGTGTGTGATGAATGGTATTTTTCAGAAGTATTGGCAAATCCACACACATGTATTGTCAATCCATTTTAGGATGTTTTTTTAGGCTCTTTTTTTTTTTGGGGGGGGGGGGGGAACTTGAACCCAGCCTGAATTTGTGGTAAAATTGATTGCTTACACTCTTCATGGATCTTGTATGCCTAAAAAAGCTGCCAGTTTTGAATCAGTTTCTTCATCTACATGAAGCACTTTTTAAAAAATAACATTTTGTGCTCATATTGCGTACAGAATTTCATGACTTCTCAGATTTGTAATCATGAGCTTTTGAGTGGGATTTGGTTTCTCACACAGTCCGTCATTTTATTCTCTTTTGCTGTTTGTATGATTACAATGGAATTGTTTTTAGGATCTTTATAACAAAGCTACACAATCATCTGAAGAAGATGCCTCTTTTCACTCTTTTAATTTATTTCTGTTGTCATTTTAATATGGATAATTTAATCTGTTGTGCAGAGGTGAAAAAAAAAAAATTAAAAAAAAAAATTTAAAGGTAGCCATTTTTGTCTATTTATTCCCTTGCATTTTTAGAAAGATTATGTGATTTTTTGGAGACTTATGTAGTGTATACATGGATTTGTAATAAAAACATGTATTGAGGAAGATTTAATGAAGTAAATAAATGCTGCGCGTGTGCAGATCTAAAACTTTGTGCATGTGGCTTCATTGTTGTGTATGTATGTAATAATAAATAATAACAGGCATATATACAGTATAGGGCTTTTAAACGGGGTATCAAAGCGCTTTACAATTATTACTGCCCCTGTTCAACGGGCAAACACTCCTGAAACCTCATCTCCCTGGGGAGCATACAAGGCCGGTAGGCAGCCACTTGGCCATAATCAACCTCTAACAGTAACCAACTCTGCCCTCACAGGTACCCATTTACTCCTGGGTGGAGAGAAGCAATGAGTGACAAAGTGCCTTGCCCAAGGGCACATGCACCATTGCCGCAGGCTGGACTCGAACCCACAACCTTCAAAATTACCCACAGACCACAAATTCAATGCTCCAGACCACTAGGCCATGGCACTTATTATTTGTGGAACACGTGTGACCATTTTGCAGTACAGTGGGGCACATCCAAAATTTGAAATTCTTTTTAGTCCTGTTCTACCTTTCTCAGTTGTTTGTACCATTAGAAAGCTCTTGTTCTGCAAAATACAAACGTGCAAATATCTAATTTCTTAAAAAGTCTGACTTTATACTAACTATGTGACGGGTCACATTATATGTACACGAAACAAACGTGTTTTCTTCATATGTTAGTTTTACATTTATTAACAAAAACAAAAAAAATCGACAAAATTCATATACAAATATTCATAACAGATTTGCTAGTTTTCAAATGTGCTCATGTACAAAAGAAATACACGGAAAGAAAAAATCTGATATAATAAAGCAGATGTTCAACGTTTCTGTACACATAGCTTTTAAAATAAAGTCGAGCATTGACTGTCGAATCAAATTCTAATCGATGATTACTACAAACATGTTTTACTGAAATATAGAAAGAATGTTATAGACACTGCTCCCCTTCACAAGAAAAGGAAGAGAATTTACATACCCATGTATTGACTTCTGAGAATTTTTTTTTTCTCCAGAACTCAAATTTCCAAAATTGTGCAATATCTACACCATATTCTTGGAGTGTTTATTTTGACATCAAAATTTAAAAGGTACACATTTTATACAAATTGTGAAAGGCTTTTTATTTTTTTTTTATCAAACCTCATCAAAAGTACATGTAGTTCATCATCAAACATTGTGAAAGTCTTAAATGTACATATCTTTAAAAACAAGACCTCTACATGACCTTTGACCTCCGTTATCCCATGAAGAATTGTGTCTTCTCACCCAATGGTCAGTGCATCTAAGTTTCATCCAAATCCATGAAAGATGTAGAGGTTATACACTTCTTCCAAAAACTTAACCTCATTTTTAACATATATACGGTCATATAGGGATACTTTCATACTGGTATCTCAGCAGATGGAAGTTCTGGGGTACTTGCATTGTTGTCCTTTTATACCTTTTATTTAGAATTTCACTTCTGGGGTACAGTTTTTTTAAAGGTGAGTAGTGGGGTAGCATTGTTTTCAAAATTTCCCTTTGTATGAGTACCCCACAAGTAGCTGTGGTAAGTACGGTCATACAGACTGTACTTACCTAATACATATAGCATTTAGGACTGGTAAGTGTGCCCCTAAACTTCGTTTAGGTGACACAAAAATTGTACAAAAATTACAGGCAAATTCCTGATGGCTAAAGAGCATAAGCGTACATTTATTTAAGGTTCACATTGGATCCATCTAGAACTCGAACCTAATTCTACATATAGGCAAGTTATGATCCAAGGCATATATATCTTTATATTGGGTTTTGCCCTTCGTCGACGTATTTATAAACACTGTACAGTCGAACACCTTTATAACAAGGTCCTTGAGGCTTTACGAACAGGTACCCTGTATTAACAGTAATGGAAAACAAAGGAAAACAAAGATTTGGGACATAAAATTTTGCTTTTTTTTAAGCAGGATATTGTATCAACGATACTCTTCTTATCAGGGTTCGACTGTATACTCAGTGTTGTCCTAGGGCTTAACTTGCTGGACTCGAACCAGCCAGGTGATGTGCTTTTGCAAAAGCAATGTGTAAACTATCCACTACTGAAACATGTGATGACTGTGTGGCACTATAAAGCGTCTCTGAACCAACATGCTTCCAATCTGGGTCGACATGTAATTTATTATGGCAGGGGTTTTCGTACACACTGCATTGCCTTTATTTTGCCTGGTCTTTCCTCTTGGTGTCCCCCTGGTATTTCTCGTGGAGGGTTTTCCTGAAGGCTGCAGGGTTCTCCCAGAGCTGGGCTGCTTGAAGGTTGAGAGGACTGTCCACGTTGGGTGCTGAAGTAAGGCCAAATCAAATATATCAAATCAAAAATGTGATACTGGGTATGGACTCTGTAAGGCCAATCAAATACATCAAATCAAAAATGTGATGCTGGGTACGGACTCTGGACACAAGTTTCCCCTCAATAGTTAGAAAGCGAGAGAGAGTGTGGAAGGGGGGGGGGGGAAGAGGGGACATTCAGTCGGAGGGGGAGGGGACATTCAGTCGTAAGGGGGGGGGGGGGGGGGGAGAGGGGGAAGGGGGGAGAGGGGGACAATCAATTAATCGCAAGCCTGACACTCGCACAAAGATGCTACAGGTTTGTGCATGGGGTAGTCTGACCACAGACTCAAAATGGCTGACTGATACCAAGTCTGATACCAGCCAGCGTGTGGATTGTCAGAATGACCTATGACGTAGGGGTCAACCGAATTTCAATATCTACGAGCGTACCAATACCGAATAGAGTGCTGTGTTAAGTGCGATGCATGAGTGTGACTTGATTCGAGTCTGAGTCGCCGAAACTGTGAGTCAAGACTGATTCGAGTCCCATTCCTGGACTTGAGTCCATGAAAGTCTCCTTGGATGACTTTTCCTACCTGCTAAGAGACCCTGAATGGACAGCAGTATGGAGGAAACAGTGTAGGTCGGTATCCACTCCTCTTTTAGAATATCCAGGCAGATATTGCCTTCCGTGTCCACGTTGGGATGGAAGCAGGGGGTCAGGAACTTGACCGTGGGTGCGGAATAGGAGTAGTTTGGCGGAAAGGTCATGGAGAGTTTGTAGTTGAGACCCTCGTACATCTGCAAATGAAAAAGTTGGTCAAGTCGTTAAATATCCATTATTATTATTATTATTTTCATTATTAAGGTTTTATTCAAAAACAGATAATTGGGGTGGAATCTGTAATCCAACAGTGATTTTACAAATGGAGGATCTTTTCTTCATAATTGTAGGCTTTTTGCAGTTTTCTTAAACAATTTCCTTGTGTGATGAATTTCAGTGAGTTTAGATTTTTGCCTGAAAATCAAGTTCCTCAAATCTAATAACCAGCCATGCATAGATTTTGCGAACTGAACTTATTTTTTGTAAACCCCAAGTTTTAAGTATTTCACCACATTCCTTTGACCATCCTAAATTTGAACATCTATGAAAACAAATCAGCCTACACATAAAAAACTTTCTTTATGGAAACCTCGATGCAAGATAAAAAAAAACCAAGGAAAACAACCCAAAAAACAGTGTTAAAAGTCGGCGTGCCGTAAAAAAGCAGGGGGGGGGGGGGGGGGGGGGGGGGCGCGCTATAATTATGTTAGGGGCGCTATTTGCAGTCATACATTTCTTTATGCTTCGGGGCGCTATTTGCAGATGAACATGTAATTTATGTACGGATAACAGCTTTTAGGCCATTTCTAACACAGTAACACTAACAATTTTAAAGTACATTACTGGCTCAGCATCATCTTTTTTTAACACATCAGTGACCAACGACTTGGTCTTTTGACCTGATTGATTGCTACAATGGGCAGGCTTGTCAGTTTGACAAGTGTTGCATGTTACTGCTTTTGGCAGAGTTTCTGGCCAAAATATACCCTGGAGGCTAATGGTAGTGGCACTTGTTTGTCTTTTTTATTATTCCCCCCCCCTTTTTTTTTTAAGCATGGCGGGCAACTTTTTAAGCTTGGTGGCAGCTTTTGAAACTTGGCGGGTGCCTCAGAAAGCTTGGTGGGGCACCAGGTTATTTTTACAGGTTGGAGAACACTGCAAAAAAAACAAAAACAACAAAACAAACCACCACCCTTAAGTTAACAAGAGGAAACAAAAAGGTATATTTTTTGCATCAAAATGTTTGTACACATGGCTTAAATACATGAATTCTTGTTAGTTCTGTAGGATTTTGCAGGTTTGAGGAGCATAACCCTGTCCACAAGATGAATTTTATTTTTTAACATGGCACTTGAAAATCCTTGCTGTCAAATACAAACTCATTTGTTTCTTGAACAATGATTGATTCGGCATGTCTCAACATGTTAATCACTCACAGAATCTGGACTGCCTTCCACTGTAGCCTTCCAACTGAAGATGTTGTCACCATCAGGAAATGCTGATATACCTTTGGGTGGACTCATCTTACAGATATCAATGGAGAAAGAAAATATTATCAGTGGAGATTTAAAATATAGACTGAATAGAGTGAAGAATGAAAAAAAATGAAAGGTTTAAACAAAATGACACTGCATTATGTTGTCTATATACATAATGCTTTCCCTCTTCACGTGACAGCCCTCCTCCCCCCCCCCCCAAAAAAAATTCATGCAAAGTTTGAAATGTTTTGTCATGCTTGAGAAATCTTAGAAAATTGCAAACATGTGCAAGGAACCCAATGCTTGAATTGAGAGCTTCCAGCATTCCTGGGGAATCCTTGAGACAATTTGGAGGTCATGACCTGCCCAAGGTTCCTAGCACTTTATGAAAACAAAAGTCCATGAGTTCTTCCTAGTTCCCTAAGAAATGTTCAAAATTCCATGAGAAATATTTTCACTCTGAGGTGGTTGCAGCAAAGCAGCTTAAAAATGCAGATAATACACCAGCAACTTGTCGACAAGCGATGGCCTCCCTTCTCTCCATTATAGCCATCCTTTCCAAAGTCCTTACCATATGCAACAAGGATGCATATAACTGGAAAAAACCTTTCTCTTCTGTGTCACCGTCAAATTCACTGAGTTTTCCCAGACTGGAAAAAATGGTAAATCATTTTCAAGGTTTTCCCTGATTTCCACTGGAGTGGCTGGAAACTCTGCTACAAACTTTTATAAAGAGAGCTTAAAGGGTATAATTATGCACTGAAACAATGCCAACTCACCATGAGCTGCATCAACTCTTGATTAAGTCTGCAACGGAACAAAGAGATAACAATAATATGTGTGCTTTATATTCCTATTCCTTAACCCTAACGTACCTAAATCCATCAAAATCCACACCCCTGTTTTGGAGGATTTTGGTGGATTCAGGATACCCTCATATTGAAAAAGTTGGGGGATTTTGATGGATTCAGGACAGTAAGCCTAGCGGTACTGCAGGATTTTGATGGATTCAGGATACCTCCATATTGAGCAGTTGGGGGACTTTGATGGATTCAGGATCTCAACAGATTTACTTCCGGCTAACTGGTGGATTCTGATGGACTCACTGGCCATCAACATTTTTTTGCATGGCAAAATTGATGGATTTTGGCGGATTCAGGATACTTTCTAGTAAAATTACCTAAGAGGTTAGGGTTAAAATAGGCAAGGACAGATTGAATAGGCTCTGGTGTAGAAAAATCTTGAAAAAGTCAAATTGGGCCGCTTTAATTCACTCTTCATTTTTCCCCAAGTTGGAGTTTTCATATGTCTAATGTTAAAGGGAATATACATGATTGGCTTTTGCTGTAATTTTCAGAAATGAACTATTTGCGGGGTTAGTATAATAGATCAAATACGTTAGACTGACATGTTTGAAGGTTTGTGTTCGAAAATGCTGGAAAAAACCAAGAAAAACAAAAACGTTTAAGTAGTCTGGTTCCCTGACTCCACTAAATATAAAATGGATCAATTTACAGATGCCGGAAACTTGTAAGGTAATGGAACCAGTCTAGCCGGCCTGCACCCGTTCATGAACATGTAACCAATAGCAAACAAAATTTGGACTGAAAGAAAAATGGTTAATTGGAGCAGTAGTTGAAAAATAGTAAGGTTTTTCCAACGGTGGTCGGCCGACCACCGTTGGAAATTTTTACAAAAATACCATTTTCTTGAAAATGACTTCACACCAGGTGCCATAATTTTACAGGATGCTTTAGACTGTCATTTACAAACATCCTAGTAAGGTATTTCGTAAAAACTAGGTAGTTTTATTTTTCGATGTTTGCAAATGTTGTATATTCCCTTTAAGGCAATACCAGTGATGGCATAATTTATGGGACTCAAGTTTTTTTTTCAAATTTGGTTTCATACTTCTAAACAATAGTAATTAACTACTATATATATGAAATGAAAACGATTAGAGTTGTTTTATGTTTCACGCAATTTTTTGCACAGTATTTGTGTTTAAATTTATATTTCGTCCTTTCATTTACTGAATTCTGATGTCTGAAGATCCTTTGTGAATTCACCTTTATTTTCAATAAGATTTCCACATTTTAAATAAGATGTGAGCGAGGTTCACTTTCAATTGATTGGAAATGTTGATGCTTGGTCTGTTCCCCTTGTCTGTGTTTGTTACTCTCAACCATGTTGTCTGGGGAGTTCTTTTTGTTAATTCCCTTCTTCTTTGTTATGTTCTATTACCTTAACCCAACCTAGCCCCATTCTATGGCCATGTAAACTCAGTGCTCAAGGCCATACCCACATGAGCTCAAAAACTTGGGGAAATGATGGCATTTTTTATGGTAATCATTCGGCCTGATACTCGGCATACGGGTTCACTTACATGTTCTTGGTTCTTGGTTGGTTCTTCTCCTAAATACTCCACGTGGGAGTTTATACAGGAGGCCACAAAACACCGGGGCAAACCCCTTCTCTTTAGCGATAAGTTTACGTGCATTTATACAACACATGGGACCTACGGCTTAACGTCCCATCCGAAGGACGAAGCAATAATGGTTAAGTGCCTTGCTTAAGAGCACAAGTGTCCGCCGGCGGGCTCAAACCCAAGTCACTGTTGCCTCTGAAACACCAGAACGTGAGTCCGGTGTTCTTAACCGCTAGGCCATCACACTCCACATCACATGTACATGTATCCAACTCTCAACCATGTTGTCTGGGGAGTTCTTTTTGTTAATTCCCTTCTTCTTTGTTATGTTCTATTACCTTAACCCAACCTAGCCCCATTCTATGGCCATGTAAACTCAGTGCTCAAGGCCATACCCACATGAGCTCAAAAACTTGGGGAAATGATGGCATTTTTTATGGTAATCATTCGGCCTGATACTCGGCATACGGGTTCACTTACATGTTCTTGGTTGGTTCTTCTCCTAAATACTCCACGTGGGAGTTTATACAGGAGGCCAGAAACACCGGAGCAAACCCCTTCTCTTTAGCGATAAGTTTACGTGCATTTATACAACACATGGGACCTACGGCTTAACGTCCCATCCGAAGGACGAAGCAATAATGGTTAAGTGCCTTGCTTAAGAGCACAAGTGTCCGCCGGCGGGCTCAAACCCAAGTCACTGTTGCCTCTGAAACACCAGAACGTGAGTCCGGTGTTCTTAACCGCTAGGCCATCACACTCCACATCACATGTACATGTATCCAAGCATCCCACCTTCTATCCAAAATTACAATGTAGGACTTCCCCGTGGTTTCTTCAGGTGAAGTTTGTCTCTTTATTTACCACCCAAGGTGGAGGTCAATGCATCGACGCAAATTAAGTGGCAAGTTTCACCAGAACTGCAGAAGGAACCACAGGGAAGCTCTAATTTTGGTGAAAAAGTTGGATGCTTGGGTAAGTGAACCCGCGCATGCCGAGTACCAGACAGAATGATTCCCAGGAATAAAATGGCATCATTCCCCATTTTTTGAGCTCATGTGGGTATGAGAATGGAGAACCCCCCTGCTTGATTCCTTCTCAATTCCCTTCTTGTTTTCCCACCCAGTTATAAGGTTTTTTTTATGGTTATTGGCTGTCGTTTAAATATTGCCAGGCCTCTAGGCCTCTTCAGGGTTTCCTTGTACTTTTAATGTTGTAAAAATTACTTTCTTATTATCTTTAAAAAAAACCCAATAAAACAAAAGTTAGGCAGGCATGGCAGGCCTTTGTACATGAACATGATGTAGTCCGAGTAACTAGGACTCTACGGATTGCTTTTTTAACATTTGGACATGGTCGGGAGATACTACTATCGCCCGACCATGTCCAGGTGTTAAAAAGCGATCCGTAGAGTCCTAGTTACTCGGACTATACATGATGTTAGTCCCACTAACTGGGACGCTAGAACTCTTTTTTTTTTGACATTTGGGATGTTGGTTGTCGTACTAGCGTCCCACTACGGAAGTATTGTCAATGTTACAATTTCAAAGTTCACCACAAAAATACACAAAATACTTGACAAAAATACCTTTGAAAGCACCTACTGGCATTTCCACATGTCAAAGACGAAGTAATGGGGCTTCAATGATTACTCACAAATATTTTTTGGGTTGAAAATCCGTGAAATAAAAGAACAATAAAAAAATGTAAGTTGAAGATAATGAAAATCAACATGTTCAAAACAAACAAACAACGAAGTGGCTATCGTTACGGCAGCCGTTGTTAAGCGCCCTCTACGATACTTTTTTGATACGCACACAGGTATATAATTATTTGTTTCCCCACGTTTTAGCGAGCAGTGCGACAGCTCAGTCGATAGACGGTAGGATTTTGCACCGCGAGGTTGCGGGTTCGCATTTCAGTTTTGCACTCGAATTTTTTTCCTTTTCTAACCTGAGGCTTTGGAGGATTTTTTTAAAAGGGAAATAAAGTCCGAATTTCATAACGTTCAAATTCACTTTTTCCTTCTAATTTTATATTTTCTTCTCATGTTTTTATAAACGAAGTGGCTATCGTTACGGCAGCTGTTGTTTAGCGCCCTCTACGATACTTTTTTGATACGCACGCAGGTATATTTATTATTTGTTTCCCCACGTTTTAGCAAGCAGTGCGACAGCCCAGTCGATAGAGGGTAGGATTTTGCACCGCGAGGTTTAATTGCCGGTTCGCATCTCAGTTTTGCACTCAAATTTTTTTCCTTTTCTAACCTGAGGCTTTGGAGGATTTTTTTTAAAAGGGAAATAAAGTCCGAATTTCATAACGTTCAAATTCACTTTTTTCCATCTAATTTTATATTTTCTTCTCATGTTTTTATAAAAGTTGCAGTCTACCGTAACGATAGAAAATGGGAAATGCGTTACGGCTGCAGTAACGATAGCCACTGCGAACAAACAAATTATGCAAACACTAAAAAGTGAACAGCTACATAGCAGCTAGTTACTGTTAGTCTCTAGCTGGAGTTACCCAGCCCTGAGTTTTATCATTGGGTTGTCATTTAGGGCTGGAGCTAGTTTTTCTCGTAGCCGATAGTATAGGCAAACATTTTTGGAAAATGTTCAATTTTGTCCCCGTTACACACTAATTGCAACTGCAACTCACCCCAAACTTGCCTGGAATAACCATTACACAGGTCCTTGAAATAAAAAACGATCCACGATGAAGATTCAGCCTACAATTGCAGTGAAAACAGGAGGAATAACCGCTAACCTGACAACCTTGCAGGCATGGCCAGGACCGCAATTGGTTTGTGCACAAAAAAAAATTGTGTACAATGAATGGCGGTCGATTACCATGCACGTACAGCTCGCTGGTACTAGGCGTTTTTGCGGTCGGTGCATGACGTGACGCGGAAGCGTAATACCCGATGACTGTTTCATGCATTAATAAGAGGTTCACTCGCATCACAGTGCGGTACTGGAACGGCAACCGTCGAGTTGGCCGGCTATCGTGCATTCATAGTGCAGTGTTACTCGACGGCTGCCATCCAGTACCGTACGGAAGCTTGAATTGCCTTCCGCGATACCGCGTTACCGCGATAATTTATCGCAGAAATCAAAGATAATTCCTTCCGCGATACCGCGTTACTGCGATAATTTATCACAGAAATCCAAAAATCAGAGATACCTTTTCCTCGATACCGCGTTACTGTGATAATTTATCACAGAAATCCAGAATTCAAAGATAAATCATTCAACGATACCGCGTTAGGCCAAAAAAAAAAAAATATTTGGTCTCTGGTCAGACCAAAGTTCCGGAATTGACGCGGCCACGCGGCTTTTTTTTCCTTTTCTTCAAGCTTGGATTGTACAGACAAGGTGGGTACTATTTTGCTTTTTTGGTGTCCTCATGTACATTAGTGTCCTACATAATTTGCCTTAATGCTTTCGATCATTTGCCTTGGTGCAATTTCCCATTCCCTGGTGCTCTTTGGTGAAAAAAAAATTGAGGAGGTGCGGAAATAGAGGGCGCTGTTGGAGCTACCGCGGAACATTTTGGAAAAAAAAAGATCGACGCGCATGATTAAAATCGACGCGCGCGCTGACCAGAGACCGACTTATTATTTTTTTTGGCCTTACCGTGACAATTTATCACAGAAATTCGGAATTCAGAGATAAATCATTCAGCGATACCGCGTTACATTATCACAGTAACGCGGTATCGCGGAAGGAATTATCTTTGAATTCCGGATTTCTGTGATAAATTATCGCAGTAACGCGGTATCATTGAATGATTTATCTTTGATTTCTGGATTTCTGTGATAAATTATCGCAGTAACGTGGTATCGAGGAATACGTATCTTTGAATTCCGGATTTCTGTGATAAATTATCACAGTAACGCGGTATCGAGGAAAAGGTATCTCTGATTTCTGTATTTCTGTGATAAATTATCACGGTAACGCGGTATCGCGGAAGGAATTATCTCTGATTTCTGGATTTCTGTGATAAATTATCGCAGTAACGCGGTACCGTTGAATGATTTATCTTTGATTTCTGGATTTCTGTGATAAATTATCGCAGTAACGCGGTATCACGGAAGGATTTATCTTTGATTTCCGGATTTCTGTGATAAATTATCGCGGTAACGCGGTATCGCAGAAGGCAATTCAAGCTTCCGTAGTACCGCACTGTGATGCGAGTGAACCTCTTATTAATGCATGAAACAGTCATCGGGTATTACGCTTCCGCGTCACGTCATGCACCGACCGCAAAAATGCCTAGTACCAGCGAGCTGTACGTGCATGGTAATCGACCGCCATTCATTGTACACAATTTTTTTTTGTGCACAAACCAATTGCGGTCCTGGCCATGCCTGCAAGGTTGTCAGGTTAGCGGTTATTCCTCCTGTTTTCACTGCAATTGTAGGCTGAATCTTCATCGTGGATCGTTTTTTACTTCAAGGACCTGTGTAATGGTTATTCCAGGCAAGTTTGGAGTGAGTTGCAGTTGCAATTAGTGTGTAATGGGGACAAAATTAAACATTTTCCAAAAATGTTTGCCTATACTATCGGCTACGAGAAAAACTAGCTCCAGCCCTAAATGACAACCCAATGATAAAACTCAGGGCTGGGTAACTCCAGCTAGTTAGTCTCCACTACGTGGAGCCTCATAGTTCTAGGAGTAGTTAGACCCGTGAACGTGGCGTTATATACAAGCCACGTTCACGGGTCTATTATTAGTAGGCTAATTAAAGTCTTTTTCTTTAAGTGTTAAAAAAAGATAGTGGATATTTTGCCGGAGGTAATGACGGCAAACTAACGATTACTAAAGGTTTGCCGGCGGCAATCCATATCAACAGAGGGCGCTGTGCTCTTTAAAATAGGGCTGAATTATAAGATGTATTAAATTCCCACCAAAAGTTGTGTAGCACGTTTGGTGAGTGGTTAAGCAAAGGCTCTAGTAAGCGGGATGACTCGGGTTCGATTCCGACCGCACCACATTTTTAAGTTTTTTTTTCTCATCCCCAAATAAATAAGAATATTCTTCTTTTATTATTTTAACATGTCTGAAACATTTTTTGCAGAGTAGGCCCCCTATTACATTTTCTTTTTCAGATTTGTGGCTCTGGAGGATTTTTTTAAAAAGGGAAATAAAGTCCGAAATTATAAAATGGTCTGAATCCCATCTTGTGAATACGAGGTAACAACGATAATTTTGGCATGGAGCCAGACTAAAACTTTTCACCGGTACAAAAAAACAGTAACTGCGCATGTTCAGTGCATATCCGGCAAACTAACGTTTACTAAAGGTTTGCCGTCTCCGGCAAAATATACACTGCCTTAAAAAAATTAATAAGACAACGGCGGCACCGTCACTATTAAGTATTATTCTGTTATTATAATTTAGCACAAAAAAGCCACCATGACCACCACGATCGATCATATCATGGAGCTATAAACACGTCCTCAACTAGCCCCACTTGTGTGGCCGTCGGTTAGCCCCATAATGTGGCCAGTTTACTGGACTGCCTCCGTAAACATAGGCCACACATCCACATGTACAAAAATCGTGTCGACGGAGCCACATTTTGATTTTCACATTTAGGATTAGTTTGTAGGTTTTTTTTGCTTTAGAAGCATACTCACCCTCTTTATAGGCTAATCAGAAAGTGCTGCCTTTTTCAGATGTATATTTTTCGTGAAATTTCCAGATTCATTTTTACACGTTTGCGTATCAAAATTTCAACATGAAATTTCACAAAAATTAGACATCTGAAAAAGGCAGCACTTTCTGATTAGCCTATAAAGAGGGTGAGTATGCTTCTAAAGCAAAAAAATCCTACAAACTAAGCCTAAATGTGAAAATCAAAATTTGGCTCCGTCGACACGATTTGTGTACATGTGGATGTGTGGCCTATGTTTACGGAGGCAGTCCAGTAAATAGGCCACATTTATGGGGCTAGCCGTCGGTTAGCCCCACTAGTGTGGCCGTCGGTATGCTGCGCTGAACCTCTGCAGCGCAGCATACCGACGGCCACACTAGTGGGGCTAGTCCTCAACTAGCCCCACTAGTGTGGCCGTGGTATGCAGAGGTTCAGCGCAGCATACCGCGGCCACACTAGTGTGGCTAGTCCTCAACATGCTCAAAAAAACAAACCTGTTTGTCACTTTGTGTCTATCCACCCTTTCTGTCACTTGTTTGGTTGATTCTTTTCGTCTGTTGCCCGCACTATTTGCTGCAGCCGACATCGGATCTATATTCTGTGACGCCATGGTTGTAACTTTGCTGAAATAATTCAATAAATATAGATTAATACGACGCCCAAAAATGAGGTGCGTGCAGATGTAAACGGCGGTACGGTAACTTAGTAAGGCATGTAATTAGGACATGTTTACCATTTAAAAATGGCGCCGTATCTATAGTATCCAATCAGACGAGAGAATGTAAAATAACAACCAATCAAAAGTAAGCTTTATTTTCGCTCCGCCCTAAAACGAAAGTTGAATGAACTTTGAGGAATAAAAATGGCTGCGCCCATGTTGTCCTCTTTCTCAGGTTTTAGACAACGTTGTTACCGAAATACTTGCACGTGGTGACGAGGTTGTCGAAAATTTGCGGCACGTTGCAAGTCACAAATATAACGCTGATGTTTACCCTCTGAAATTACTTGTATTTTCTAATAACATGGCCGCAACAAGAAGGAGGAAAGGGGAACAGGAAGACATGAAGCAGAATTTACCCTCAGTTTGGAAACGGGTGTTTGCATCAGGCTCAAAGTGGCAAGAAAAAGTATTCTTTTCTTTTTCTTTTGTTTTGGTCTTTAGCACGGGTTAGAGCGCCCTCACCGAGGACAGGGCCCAATTTCATGGAGCACTAAAACTAAAAGTAAAAGTAAACCTATGAGCTAAAGCACACAGTTTTCTGCTAAAAAAAAGGGCTATTTTATTGTGTAGTGTAGGGCCCCAGTTTTGTTCCGATCAAATAAGAGCGTGAGTGTTATTTATTAGGCCTACCCAAAAATGACATTTTCAATTAACTTAAAGCACACTTCTCGGCACAATTGCAGAATACCCCGCCACTCGATCTATCCACCTCGTAGCCGGCTACGAGGTCACGGCTGATTGACCTCAATAAACATTCTCAGCGCTACTTGTATGTCTATGCGTCATGCCTGATTGACCTCAATAAACATTCTCAGCGCTACTTGTATGTCTATGCGTCATGCTCCATTGCACTCCCACTTCGTGACCGCGTAGCCGCCAACAGGGTAGTTGGTTTGGACTTAGAATTTTTTCAGCAACTCCCATTTTGTGTTGCTTCGTTCTCAAGCATATTCAAGGGGACTCCCACTCCGTAGCCTCGTAGCCGCCAACAGGGTGGTTGGTTTGGACTTAGAATTTTTTCAGCAACTCCAATTCATTTTGTGTTGCTTCGTTCTCAAGCATATTCAAGGGGACTCCCACTCCGTAGCCTCGTAGCCGCCAACAGGGTGGTTGGTTTGGACTTAGAATTTTTTCAGCAACTCCCATTCATTTTGTGTTGCTTCGTTCTCAAGCATATTCAAGGGGACTCCCACTCCGTAGCATCGTAGCCGCCAACAGGGTGGTTGGTTTGGACTTAGAAATTTTTTCAGCAACTCCCATTCATTTTGTGTTGCTTCGTTCTCAAGCATATTCAAGGGGACTCCCACTCCGTAGCATCGTAGCCGCCAACAGGGTGGTTGGTTTGGACTTAGAAATTTTTTCAGCAACTCCCATTCATTTTGTGTTGCTTCGTTCTCAAATAATGGACCCCCACTCAGTATCCGCGTAGCTGGCAATGGACTTCAATTGTTTCTTTTGCAGTGATTTCAACCTCGTAGCCACTGATTTTAGGGGTGTATTTCTGAGTGGCGGGGTATTCTGCAATTACTCCCACTTCTCTCAGACTCAGTCTCAATAAGCAATTCCACCTATTTTGTAATTTTTGAACAGTTTCTTGCACTCTTGGGGTAGAAATTACGATTTTCCTACGCCGTTTACATTTGGTGCCGTGTGATTCAGCACGCCTTGCACGCTCACGTCACAGTACATCATGCGGTGTCGCAATTTTTATTTTCGTATTGCATTTTGTCGTTGTCATCGTCTTTACCCTCAAAAATTCAAAGCCCTGCCCTTTATCTAGCTTGAGTAACTCCAGCTCTAATGCCTATCGCATTAGAGCTACATGTATATGTTACAATCACCGGGTTGTAAGAATCCCGAGATCCCGGACTGTGTATCCCCGGTGCATTACAAAAACGGACCATCTATGTTATCCCGACCCAGATTCCATAATTCATACCTCATATACGATGCAGCAGACATTCATGAAGCTAATAATCGACTTCAAACAGAACAATAAAGACTAAAATTTGAAATTTTTCAATGATTTTGGTGGCGATTCTCTAGAAACCATGAGAAAACGTCATGCGACTCTATTCTGCCGACTGCCGTTGACCAAAAAAAACCCCAACATTGGCCAACAAAAACATCAGATTTACCTCAAAACGGCCTCCAAATTACTAGATACGCCTCCTGAGGTACAAGGAGAGATCGATGATTAAAATTGAGATACTAAAGTTTGCTTATGAGTCGGATGAAAAGTGAAATTTCCCGTTCAATTCCGAGAGCTCCCCTCGCGATCGATAGTGAATTATCACGTTAAATTTCCGACTCGAGTTTGAACACGCCCTTTATAATGTAGCTCACAAACCACTTCCCCAGAACCAGACTTCAAACTTAGTTTAAAGGCGTATCCCAATTGAAATTCTTGGTTACGTCATTGGCTTGGGGCCATTTCTTAAACCCTTGATGGAACTCCAGCAGCTGATTTCAAGAAAAAGTGCGTAGCTTGCGCCATGCATAAGACTTATGCAACAAATTTGTTGCGCAGCTGCGCAGTATACTGACGATCGATTTCACGAAACTTGGCGTAGATGCGCAACGTTTTAAATAATTGGAAACATCTTGGACGAGGATAAAAAACAACAGTTACGACGGCTGTTTGTGTGTGAATTTGTTCTTTCGCGAATCACTGGATCACTTCAGCCCGCCATTTTGAAAATTGTTTTGTCCGATTTTTGTCGGGATCGTTCGGCAACTCTAAAAATTATGTTACGAGTAAAATAGTAAAAATTTACTTTAAACATGAAGTTGTGAGTGTCTTGTATCAATTTTGATAAGTTGTGTAATAACGAGCTCCACGACAATCCCAATTTGCTGGTAAAATATATAAAAACTTACGCCATCTAAAATGATTGCGCAAGTAACGCCATAATTTGTTGCGCAGGTTGCGGACTTACACACTATCCGACTTTCATGAAATGTGTCATAAGTGAAATATTGCGCAGCATGAAATGTTGCGCAACTTACGCAATAAAATGTGGCGCAAGCGGAGTTGCGCCATTGCGTATAAAGGTTTTGTGAAATCGGCTGCAGTTGTCCTGCTTTCAAAAATTAATTAGATATATTTCTGTATAATCAGTTCTAAACAGCTTTGTATGTTTGCAATTTGGTTTTGACGTTGTCAGCATAAAGAACAGAAATTTCACTTCTTGTGAACTGTTGCGTAGATCTTTGATAGAAACATCCAGCAGAACTTGTCTATTGGGTACCATGCAAAATCTTTGGATATTCATAATAAACTGGTGCGTTGTGTTCCTTCTTCCATTCTGTAATTTGTTAGATGGTGTTCAAATATCAGTGACTCGAATTGACTCAACCATAAATTTGATTCGACTTGATTCGTCTCGACTTGACCACACACTGTGACTCGATTGACTCAATCTTCTAGACCTTATGACTCGACTGGACTCGTCACTTCCTTGAAAATGACTCGACTCAAGTCACAAAATGCAGTGACTTGTTTCAACTCTGCGGACACCATATATTTAGTAAGCACAGCAAAAGGCAGAGTTTAAGTTGCTTAGTTAAATTACTTGTATAGTGACGTAAGATATTAGTACATCCACACCATCATGACCATGAATTTTAATAGTGGCCGTGTAGCTTTAAGCAAATAAAGGTTAGCACAATTTTCTGTTAACTGTTTACTTTTTTGCTAACTGTTAAGTAGCACCATGAAATTGGGCCCAGGTCTTTTAATAAAATATGTGTAGATGCAAAAATACAGGCTGTTTTGTTTGATTAAAAAAAAGTATATTTCCACGTGCAAATATGGTAAGGGTACAACGTATACTCGGAGCAGGTGAAGGCCTATGGGTAATACTCCAGGCACAATCATGCAATTTCAAGATATTGCATGGTTTGTAACAACATTAACCGTTCGAGTGATGTGACCCAAGTGCAATACGCACACAATATTTTCCTACTCGAGAGAGTATCAAGAGTGACCCACACAAATGCTAGACCCAGTAACTGCAGGGCGCTATAGAAGTCCTGTTTTCAATATTTGGCTGGTCGGTCTTATGACCAACCAAAGTCAAGTTCGAAGCTGCAGTTTACTGTAGTATTAGTACCAAAAAAAAAGTCAGTAAAATGTGAGGAATACTAAAAGATAAATGACAAATGATTTACATTGAAAATAACATTTTCCCTTTTAATTTGGCAATTGCGCTTCTTCTTGTCATTTGTGTTTCATTCAAAACACGGCGAGTGGAAGACAGCGTTTCTCTTTAAGGACATCGAATTATACAAATTTTACAATGTCTCCCAGAATCAGAGACATGAAAAAATTACACCATTTATTTATTTCAGTGTCATCTTGAAGTTTATTGATGTATGCATTTTTTTTTTTTTTTACTGTCCGCAGGATGAATTCCTAGATGTGATCTACTGGGCAAGGCAAATTGTCGCTATACTCTGTGGGATAGTCTGGGGCATCATACCGTTGAAAGGATTTTTAGGAATAGCTTTGTAAGTATGGCAAACATTTATTAAAATAAATCACTAAAATAGATAGTTTGCGAAAAAGCAATTTTTGTCATGCATGTTAAGACACATGTGGCGTAACAAATGTGTCTCAAACACTGGATTTTGTCCATATTTAGAGCCACACAGCCAGTGACAGCAGTGCATGCTAACTTTCTGGAAAAATTTTGTATCCTGAATTGGAAATTTAGACTACTTTTTAAAACTTAATATTCACTTTGGAAGGTACTTACCAAGTTAAATAACCAGGGAAAATTAAAAGGTCAAAGGTCCTTCCAACCTGGAAATTACAGGATAACTACACGTCTAGAGGTACAGACTTGAACTTTTCCTGATTATTTACCGGTTAAGTACAATGTAGCTTCAATAGCAAATATCAATTGAAAATACAGCCTGGATTTCAAATTCAGGAAACACATTTGTTCATGTTATTTAGCATGTACATGTACATCACTGTGGCTCTAAATGCGGAGGAAGTCCAGTATTTGCGACACAGGGGTGGGGGAATGTATAGCTATTAGCTTAAAGCTTGTTGCTACATTATGGAGATTTTCATAGCTAAAATGGGAATATTAGGTATGGTCTATCATTTTAGGTATACATGCTCTGTCATAAAAGATACTGTATGCTTGGGGGAGGGGAGGGGAGAGACCTTATGTACGCATTTGAAAAAAGGGGGGGGGGAAATGTTGATTGTACTTTCCTGCCAAATTGCAGGTGTTAGTTTCAGGGCCCATTCAATAGTGCATAGTTTGTAAAAGAATGAAGTTTTATGACCAAAAAACGGCTATGTCCAAAAATACAATTTTCTGTCCCGAGCCCTTAAAAATCAACACTTTCTAAAGTACTCCCTGGGAGGGGAAGTGGGAGGGGGGTCTGAAAACCTACTCTCTGTACTCTTAGACAATGTTGATAATAATGAATGGCCCCTGTTTTATATACTTGTTCTTTTTCCCCATTTTCAATGTTGCAGATTTTGTGCGGCCAATGCAGGTATATTGTATGTGTACTTCACAAGTTTCCAAGGTGTCGATGAGGAGGAATATGGCGGCGTATGGGAATTGACAAAAGAGGGATTTATGTCATCGTTTGCATTATTTTTGGTAAGGATTATCATGCATACAGTTGACGTGAAATTTGAAGCATCTACTTTTCCCATTACATCTCTATTTTATGCATTGTTTTGTTTAAAGATAAAGTCCATCATTTGTAATCTGTGCATTTTGCTCGTTTGAAGCAACAAAAGTGCTCAAAATCTAAAGAAGGGTGCTGAACAACTAACCTGATAACCTACATTTCGAGAAAAACAACATTCTAGGATCTCGATTTCAAATCAAAAGTTGCTGAATCATGTTTTGAATTGGGCCTGAATTCAGTGCCGAGACTTGTTCTCGCCGAGCCGATTGCACTACGCGATGTCGCGCACTGAACGACAAATTATAGCAACCATGCGCGCGTATGCGTTTTTCTAACGCTTGCGCGCGCTTCGCCAAATAAAAAAACAAAAACGAACTACTATAATGGAAATTTCTGCGTCTTAAGACGCACGGTTGGAAAGGCCTTCTTCCGTTGATTTCTTCAAAAAGACAGCTTGCCAGAATGAATAATTTCACAGGGGGGTTTAGTCCCCTTACTATCTTTCAATCAAGTGTGTTTTTCAACAATAATTACATCAGTTACTTTTCGGATAGCTGCAAATGATGGACTGTAGCTTTAACACACACAGTGCAGACCTGCCAACTAGTACGATTCTGCCGTATTTCGTACGGGAATTTGTTGAAAATACGACTGTACGTTTTTCCCCCATAAAATACGGGTTTTGACCAACTTGACACGCCTGGAAAAATCCTAGTTGAAAGCGGCTGTGAGTGTAGATTTCTGCTGGATAATATTGGCTGAAACAACGTAAATTGCAAGCAGCCAAGCAAACGATGTACTGCATGCACGAATTTGGTTTCGCGATTCCCACTGTTCAATGTACATTATGTACATGGTATCACAAACTAGAACCAGTCTATTCCCGGAGTGCCGATACTTCAAGCAGCAGCACCCCCGCCGCCAAAATAAATGTCTGTATTCGTACACACACATACCAGCAGGAATACGTATGGCAGATCTTCGTGCAGTCAACAGACTTTCTATTTCTCAGTGCACGCTTGATACACAGAATACATTTTGATGTTCATGTACAATAGTCACAGCGTGCGTGCACGTGGTGTTTCGGTTTATATGTCAAACATTTTGAATAGTAAAGTTTGATACTACGTTCTGAAACCAATTCAAAAATCAGAAAAATCAACAATTAAAGCGGGCAGCCGCAACCGAACCAGGTAAATCAGCCAGCAGATGCAAGAAATTGATTTCTTTTTCGGGTTTTAAGTTAAAATAAAACTCTGTTCGATTGTAGCTTGAGTAACTCCAGCTGTAATGCCTATCGCATTAGAGCTGGAGTCACAACTACGTTATAATACCGGGTTGTAAGAATCCCGAAATCCCGGACTGTGTATCCCTGGTGCATTACAAAAACGGTCCATTTTCCCTATATTATCCCAACCCAGATTCCATAATTCATACCTCATACTATGCAACAGACATTCATGAAGCTAATAATCGACTTCAAACAGAACAACGAAGACTAAAATATGAAATTTTTCGATGATTTTGGTGGCGATTCTCCAGAAACCATGAGAAAACGTCGCGTGACACTATTCTGCCGACTGCCGTTGACCACAAAAAAATTTAAAAATTGGCCAACAAAAACATCAGATTTACCTCAAAACGGCCTCCAAATGACTAGATACGCCACCTGAGGTACAAGGAGAGATCGATGATTAAAAGTGAGGTACTAAAGTTTGCTTACGAGTCGGATGAAAAGTGAAATTTCCCGTTCAATTCCGAGAGCTCCCCTCACGATCGATCGTGAACACGTTAAATTTCCGACTCGTGTTTGAACAACGTGATATGGCCGTACGTGCCCAGCGTTCATTCGATGGTCCCAGCGCGATTCCGTTACCGAGCGCGATGCATCGATTATGATAATGAGTTGACTGGATCTCGTTTGTACAAGTGCATTTCGAACGATAATACGGAGTCGGGAACTAGCTTGAACTTGTTTCCGCTGATAGCTGCCCTAGTTCCTGACTCCGAATCATAGTTCGAAATGCACTTGTGTGCATGGGCGTCAATCCTGGGGGGGACAGGGGGACATGTCCCCCCCCCCCCACTTTTTGAAGAGTGGGGGACACAATATCAAATGTCCCCCCCAGATTTTTGAACTCGTGCCTCATTTACAGGGCCCTATTATGTACTACAGTGTATCTTTTGCTAAGAAAATATTGGTTAAAGTTGTCAGAAATTGCCTCAGATCGCACCACAGAGCATTTAGAATCCGAATTTTTTCGGGGCCCTCAGGCCCCGAACCCCACGCCTTTAGCTGAGAATATATAGTGGAGCTGCTTAGGTCCATTTTTGGCCCACATCGTGCACTTTGTGGTAAAAGCATGAAATTTGGCAGGTGGGGTCCCAATGGGCTAGAATTCATTTTAAGATCGGGACCCATCCTGGATCTTGCCCATTTTGGGGGCGGAGCTTCATTTTTTTTAAAAGGGGGTGCAAACAATACAAACTCATGAAAACTGTATTTAACATCCAATTTCCTTGTTTTTCTATGGTTTGAAATAAACTTAAACATAAAATATAACATTCTAGCTTTCGAACACCAGTTAATTTCCATCCATTTTGTAGGCGTGGCCTAAATGTACAAAAGAAGTGGTATTGTACGAAAGTGTCTAAGCGTTAAATTGGTATAGCGCCCTCTCGTGATTATGAATCTAGAAAATTCCATCGTGATTCCAATTTTAGTCACATTTGTCCTGAAATCATTCCGATAAACCTCGCAATTATTCCTTCAATCAAACGTAAAATCCCAGGTTAACCCAAATTTTCCTAATCATCTGTATGCCGTCCATCAGCGGCTGTGCGTAGAAGCTAACAGTGAGTAGATTTATAGATGATTTTAAGGGATATTTTGTGGGGGGTTTTGTAATGGATAAATAACGTGGGTTTCATCACATGTTGTTTTATGGGTACATGTACGTACATTTTATTGATCTTTTTACTAAGGATTATGCCCTTATATTTAATCATTATTGCTGGTTAATTGAGTGTAATTTGGGGCTTATAATAGCTTATCTAATCCCTCAGTTTGTTAGATAATTTAGTTGATACTGGGGGAAATTATTACATGAATCTTAGTCCATTTTCATGTGTTTTTCATGTCACCTCATAAATTCAGGTTCCAATATTTATTATTGTATTAATTTGGTTTTCTTGTAGAACCACGGCCTACCACACGGCTTACACAACCTCCATTGCAGTTCACGGCTCCCATTCCACGGATTAAAGTCTTCATCAGTAAATTAACCTAATCAGCTCAGCTACTATCTTCATCATTGTAATTTGAGAACAATCAGTAATTAAAGGAGAGCAAATCAACCAATCATAGACTCGTCACCAGTCTCCTGTCCTGCACTTTCTTTCATGGTCCTTCGAGCCGGATCCTCTACACCAGCGACCTGCGGATTTTACCACAATGTCTGAACACCATGCCGATGATGTTCTGGCCGAGGAGAACCGAGATGAGTCTGTTGCCTCAAAGCACTCCGGCAGCCAACGCACTAATAGCTCATCAAGTTCCCGTAACTCACACCTATCCGGTCTTAGTGATAAGGATGCAGCTAAGATGCGAACACTCAGAAGAAGAATTCGTCTTAACGAGCTGGAGTGCCAACTCCAGGAAGATCAGACCGCTGATGAGCAACTTCGTAAACTTGACGAGCAGGCCCGCTCTGCCCGACTTAAAGCTGAAGAAGTGGAGCGACAGGCATTGCGAGAGCGTGAGGCCCTCACCTCCAAATTATCCCGTCAACGCAGAGTGCGGATTGCTCGTCAAGAACTCTGCGAGGCTGAAGCCATCAGTGCCATGTTGAATAATGAATCATCATCATCACCATCACATCCTTTAATGGGTACAGACGATCAGTCACCCCCACAGAGTGCATCCTCAACTCCACAACCAGACATGCAGCAAACATCCACAAGTGTTTCATCCAGTGTTGGAGCAAAGGCTTTAACCCTCAAGGCCAAGGCCAAGGCCAAGGCTTTGACCCTCAAGGCCAAGGCCAAGGCCAAGGCTTCGACCCTCAAGCCTCGAGGCCAAGGCCAAGGCTTAACCCTTAAGGCCAAGGCCAAGGCCAAGGCCCTGTTTTATGAAATGACCACTGATATAGAACTAATTATAGTCACATGAGTGACACATCATCACGCAAGGGCGGATCCAGAACACAATTTGGGGGGGGGAGAAATTTTGGTCCCCCCCCCCCACAAAAAAGTGGGTCAAAAAATTACGGCTTGGGCTTCGGGGCCCGCTTAAGGGCCCCGAAAAAAAATTTGATTCGAGATGCTCTGTGGTGCGATTTGAGGCAATTTCTCACCATTTTAACCGATGTTTTTTGAGGAAAAGATGGTGGTGTACTCATTGCCTGCCTTTATTACGACGTCACATAAAAAAAATGGTTTCTTTTTTTTTTTTGGGGGGGGGGGCATGGCCCCTTTTGGCCCCACCTGGATCCGCCCTTATCATCACGAATCGCTCTTTACGAAGAACAACATTTCTTTAATTGCAATCAACATGCTCGCATAGGCCTACACCGTTTTATGACTGCACTGTATCTATTAAAGTATAAGTTCAGGTCTTCAATATGGTTCAACTAAACAAAATAATGATTTACTTCTATATTGACACACAATTCTCCCAAGTGTACCAAAAGGGGGATCCAAGAAACTGATTTAGGAATTTTTTATTTGCTGGCCCAACATGGTCAGAAATATCAGCATTATCTCAAACAGATACATGCAAATCTTTAGCACTTATCAGGGAGACTTATACAACCAATCAGATCCATTCCATAGTTATATGCAATTAAAGTGACCATCTCATTAGCCCCACAAGTGTACGGAATATTTTTGCAGCAAATCTACTACAATGGTAACAAAATGTGATGCTACAAAAGTGGAAGTGTGCCCAACACACAAATCTATAGGGTGCTTCCCTCCTCAATGGAAATACGATTAAAATGGTAACAGCAAAATTTAGAACAGATTTATCTGGAAAATGCAAAAATCTATAAGGCCCTGAACCCTCAAGGCCAAGGCCAAGGCCAAGGCTTTTGCCCTCAAGCCTCGAGGCCAAGGCCAAGGCCCTAAAATCCAGCCTTAAGGCAGCCTTAAGGCCAAGGCCCAGCATCAAGGCACTACATCACTGGTTTCATCCTCTGTTTGTCATGGTAATCCAAGTGCTCCACTTGTGACATCTCACCCAGACATTCAGCAAGCACCCCCATGTGTTTCCTCCTCTGTCTGTCATCCGACTCCATCTGGTGCCCCATCCTCGACCTCACCACCGGACATTCAGCAAACACTACCCTGTGTTTCGACCTCTGTTTGTCATGGTGCCCCAGTGAGTGCGACCTTACCCGCATCAGTGGTAACCAGTGATGTCACTCCAAGACAAGGCATTCCTACTCCAGGGACTTGTCCTCCGCACTTGCCATACCCAATGGCTTCTGTACCCTCCTTAACGGTGTCATCAGCACCAACCGTTATGGATCTCCTTGTTGCATCATCACATGGCATCCCCAAACCTACCCTGCCAAAGTTTTCTGATGGGAAGGAGAAAGAATTCGCCCTCCTCAAGCTGGCTTTGGTGAACCTCATTGATGTGCATCCCCATCTTTCCGAACAGTATAAGTTCCAAATACTGATCGACAGACTTGGTGGTCGAGCATTAAAGCTTGCCAAGTCATTCCTGTACGCCAGTCAACCGTACACCCAGGCCCTCCAAGCCCTCACTGGCAAGTATGGACAACCCAGACAACTTGTGCAGAGTGAAATTGGAGCCATCATGTCCACTCCTTCAATCAAGTATGGAGATACAGATGCATTTGATGACTTTTCTCTTGATGTTCTGTCACTCGTTGGAATGCTTCAAGCTTTGGAGGGCGCAGAGGGAGTTGAACTTCGATGTGGATCACATGTCGATCATCTGCTGGGAAAACTGGCCCCCTCTCACCAAAACAGTTTCATGGAGCATTGCCTGAAGAAGGGCATACTGGAACCAAATAGCAGCAAGACATACACCTTGCCCCAGTTTGCATAGTGGCTTCGCACAAAGTCACAGTCCCAGAGCTTCGCAAGTAGAGCTGTATCAAGTCACATCTCAGCAGGCTCTAAACCAACCCACCAACAAAGCCAGCACCGAGCCCCAAAGAAGGAAGTCAACGGGATATGGCGCTACGCCACTCCGCTCCTTAGGCAAGGGGACGAGACGAAATTCCATGCCCCGAAAGAGGCAGTGCTACCGACTCTGAAGGGGACCGAGAAGAGACTCGACAAATACCCACAGCTTGCTCAGAAACACAACGAGCTAATCGCCAGGTTGGTCGATGCGGGTCACGTGAGGATCTTGCCAAAGGATGAAGCAGACAAGTCCAAAGAATCCTGGTTCATCCCACACCATACCGTATACCACAACGGAAAGTATCGACTAGTATTCAACTGCTCCTTCCGGTACAACAACCAGATCCTTAATGAGCACCTTCTGCCAGGGCCAACACTTGGTGCATCACTCATAGGTGTACTACTCCGCTTCAGACAACACGCAGTAGCAATCTCAGGAGACATCAAGGCGATGTTTCATCAAGTACGCCTCCTACCAGAAGACCGATGCCTCTTCCGATTCCTGTGGCGCAACCTACAAGTCGACAAAGAGCCAGACATCTACGAATGGCAGGTGCTTCCCTTTGGCTCGACTTGTAGTCCCTGCTGTGCTACCTATGCTCTGAGAAAGCACGCCTTTGACCATGAGAAGGACTATCCAGAAGTTGCAAAGGCAGTCGACAAGTCCTTCTACGTTGACAACTGCTTGCAGAGTCTACCGGTCGAGACAGATGCCAAAGCCCTTGTCCAGAAGATGCGAAACCTGCTTTCTGACGGTGGGTTTGAAATACGACAGTGGGCCAGCAACGTTCCTGCTGTAGTAGAAGATCTCCCACCAGATGCCCGTTCTGATGGCTGTGAGCTGTGGTTAACCTTCGGGGAGACCAATTCCACTGAAGGCACACTTGGAATGTTGTGGGAGTGCAGTTCAGATGCCCTGCTGTACCGCCACAGACCCATCAGCTATGACTGCCTCAACATGAGGAATATGTATAAGATCCTCGCGAGCCAGTACGACCCTATAGGGTACCTAACCCCATTTACAGCCCGAGCGAGAGTCATTGTCCGAGACCTGTGATAGACGAAGCGCAACTGGGATGATCCACTTGAGCCGGGTGATATCAGAGACCAGTGGCAAGCCTGGGAGAGTGAACTTCCCCACCTGACTGGAGTGAAGCTTAACAGATGCTACACACCACCAAATGTCAAGACAGAGGCTGCCCATCGCCAACTTCACATTTTCTGTGATGCATCGGAGAGAGTTTACGGAGCTGTGGCTTACATCCGAACAGAAGATGAAGATCACAACGCCCATGTTAGCTTCATCATGGCCAGGTCCCGTGTTGCCCCCAAACGGCAACTCTCTCAATGCCTCGTCTAGAGCTCTCCGCAGCCTTAGCCGGTGCCCAATTAGCGGATCTTGTCCAGAAAGAGTTGACTCTCCCTCTTGATGAAGTCATCCTGTGGAGTGACTCGACTACTGTGCTCACCTGGCTGCAATCAGAATCCTGCCGGTATAAAGTGTTCTTTGGCACCCGTGTCGCAGAAATACAGACCCTGACCGATGTTGACAAGTGGCGGTATGTCGACACCAAGAACAACCCCGCAGATGACCTTACGAGAGGCAAAACCCTGGTTGACCTCAGCCAAGCCAACAGATGGAGAGATGGTCCTTCCTTCCTCCGGTTGTCCCCCGACACATGGCCAGCTCACCCGTCTACACAGACAGAAGACCCATCTGAGTTCAAGAAGTCAACCTTCTGTGGTGCTGTGGTCGTCATTCAGCCCAACTTACCTGATCCATCCGAACATGACACCTGGAGTGACCTTGTTGCAGCTACCATGCAGCATCTTCATGGGGCGGCCGAGGATGCTGATCCTACCAAGTTGGTTGAACAACGGGTAGAAGCCGAGATGTTTCTTTATCAGCGTGCTCAACAAGATTCCTTCCCAGAGGAGATTGCTTGCATCCAAGCAGGCAAAGAGCTCCCCCGTGGTAGCAGACTCCTGCAGCTTGCTCCAGAGTATGACGAATCTTGCGGCCTCATCCGAGTGGGAGGACGTCTTCGTCGTACCCAAGATCTACCCAAAGACACCAAGCATCCCATCGTGATGAATCCAGCTCATCCCATAACAAGGCTTATCATCCGTGACTACGATGAGAAGTTGCTCCACTACGGACCTGAGCGCATCCTGGCAGAGATCCGACGTAAGTTTTGGATACTACGCGGAAGAGAAGCAATCCGAAAGCATCAACGCCAGTGCTTCGAATGCCAGAAGTGGAGAGCTAGCCCTCAAGTTCCGAAGATGGGAGATTTGCCTCCAGCACGCCTCCGCCTCTTCAAGCCTCCCTTCTACTCAACAGGGGTAGACTGTTTCGGTCCAATGACGTGCAAGATTGGGAGAAGGAGCGAGAAGCGTTGGGGGATCATATTTAAATGTATGACCACCAGGGCCATTCACCTTGACCTACTAGACAGCCTCGATACTGACGCGTTCTTGATGGCCTTTAGACGGTTCATCTCCAGAAGAGGGAAACCATTCGAGATCCTGTGCGACTGTGGCACTAATTTCAAAGGAGGTGATAATGAGCTGCGGGACGCCTTTGCTGCCATGGATCCCATCTTACAGCAGGAGCTTGCCAAGCACCAGGTCAAGTTTGTGTTTAATCCTCCGAAGGCTCCACACTTTGGAGGAACCTGGGAACGGGAGATCAAGTCCGTGAAAGATGGCCTGAGAGTTGCCCTGAATGAGCAGTCCGTCCCTGAGTCAGTACTTCGCACAGTGCTCATTGAAGTCGAGGGAATCTTAAATTCCAAGCCTCTGGGGTATGTCTCATCTAATGTTGCAGATCCCGATCCAGTCACTCCAAACCTTCTGCTGATGGGGCGGCATGATGCGACTCTCCCTCAGGTTGTCTATCCTGCAAGGGATCTACTTGGCAGACGACGCTGGAAGCACAGCCAGGTCCTCGCTGATCACTTTTGGTCCGGGTTCGTCAAATCCTACTTGCCGACTCTCCAGGAGCGCCAGAAGTGGCATACAGACCGTCCAAACCTGACCACCAATGATGTCGTTATGATTGTCGACCCAGCACTCAGCAGAGCTCAGTGGCCCATCGGAAGAGTTGCAGAGACCTTTCCGGGTTCCGACGGTCGTGTCCGCACTGCCAGCGTGAGCGTTCGAGGTAAAACCTACACTCGCCCAGTGGCACGACTGATCAGGCTTCCAGAGGTCAGTGACGACAACCTACCCGATGGTGAACCCGACAACACCTAAACTGTTACCTTGTATCATTACTCTTGTGATTCTTAGGGACACTTTCAGATTTAGTAAATTTTATGCTCAAATTTAGGGGCGGCTGTACGAAAGTGTCTAAGCGTTAAATTGGTATAGCGCCCTCTCGTGATTATGAATCTAGAAAATTCCATCGTGATTCCAATTTTAGTCACATTTGTCCTGAAATCATTTGTCCTGAAATCAAGGAGAGCAAATCAACCAATCATAGACTCGTCACCAGTCTCCTGTCCTGCACTTTCTTTCAGGTATATATTAGCAGTTTGGTTCTAATATAGAAAACGTTAATCGGTTTGGTAGTAAAATCCTGAAAATTGGCAGGTCTAGTTAAAATGGGCTGAAAATAATTTTAAGAGGTGAACACATCTTGGATCTTGCACAATTTTCGGGGGGCGGAGCTTGATTTTTCAAAAAGGGGAGTGCAAAAAATAAAAACTCAGAAAAACTGTATTTAACATCCATTTTCCTTTGTTCTTCATGCTTGAAATAAACTTAGACATGAGAAATAACACGTTAAAATTGTGCAGCAGCAGGATTCCAGTCGAACCAGTGAGTTTGGTGGTTTGAGACATCATCTTACATTGAAAGACATCATCTTACATTGCCGACGCGCATGGCTATGGCGACGCGCGCGCATACCAGAAACCAGAGCCTTTTTTGGCCTAATAATCATTTTCTTCATTTTGTATGAATAAAAAGGAGTAAATGCTTCAGATTTCAAATATGCGCTTGTCATTTACAAGGCTGGGTTGGGGCAACCTTGAAATTATAAAGCAAAATAATTCTGCGCAAAAACTACTGCATTTATTAAAGTTCATAAAGTACAAATGATACCATATGTTTGTATGAATAAAGCATGGCATTTGCTTTTTCTACCACTTTCGAAGCATTTACTCGCATCAGTATGAATGAAAATTAAGCAAACACTTTTACTAAAAACCATTTGCTCTTGAGTAAATGGCCTGCAAAATGTAAAGCTTTACATGTTTATAAGTTTGCAGAAAATAAAACTTTCGTAACCGAAACGGAAAGTGGCACCGGGGAGGGTCACGTGCTGGAGGACAGATACAAAAAAAGCGCATCAAACGCGACGAACGCAATGCCGTTTACGTGCACAATGCGCTGTGCATCGGCGCCCATGGTCTACATGTGGATTGGGTTTTCAGTCCCTACCTGATTCCGTGGGTTTTCCCCAGACTATTCTTCTGGGGTTTTCCTCCCACCTCTAAAACTGTAATTTCTTCTCATTGTCTTCTCTCTACGTTTTTGTTTTCGGGGTTTGCGAGCTACAGTGCCTGGGGCATGCACTTTTGAGGATCCTTGGTTTCATTACCAGAAAAAAATTATTTATCGTTTACTTCGTTTCGTATGAATATAAAGGAGTAAATGCTTCAGATTTCAAATATGCACTTGTCATTTACAAGGCTGGGTTGGGGCAACCTTGAAATTATAAAGTAAAATACTTCTGCGCAAAAATTACTGCATTTATTAAAGTTCATAAAGTACAAATGATACCATGTTCGTATGAATAAAACATGGCATTTGCTTTTGCTACCATTTTGAAGCATTTACTCGCATCTGTATGAATGAAAATTAAGCAAACACTTTTACTAAAAACCGTTTGCTAAATTCTGAAAATAATTACATTTACCTTCAAGCTTTTGCTACACTATAAGCGTTTACTTCGTTTCTTATGAATAAAAAGGAGTAAATGCTACAAATTTTTAAATATTTACTTGTCATATTTCAAGGTTGGGTTGGGGCTACCTTGAAAATATAAAAGCACATAATTATGCCCAAAAATTACTGCATTTATTAATGTTAATCGCGAAAAAGTACAAATAATACCATACGGTAGTTCGTATGAATAAAAACTGGCATTTGCATTACTCCCATCTGTACGTTTCGTATGAATATAAAGGAGTAAATGCTTCAGATTTCAAATATGCACTTGTCATTCACAAGGCTGGGTTGGGGCAACCTTGAAATTATAAAGCAAATAATTCTGCGCAAAACTACAGCATTTATTATATGTTAATCGCGAAAAATTAATATTAACAAAGTTCATAAAGTACAAATGATACCATGTTCGTATGAATAAAACATGGCATTTGCTTTTACTGGTACTTCCAATTTTGAAGCATTTACTCGCATCTGTATGAATGAAAATTAAGCAAACACGTTCGTGTAGGTTTTATATGAATTAATCCCTAAACCCTATGATCTCAGAATAAATACAAGATTTCTATTGTTTTAGCCACTGTGACCTTGACCCTTGACCTTTCGACCCCCAATGCGATAGGCCTATGACCAAGAACGATCCACAAACCAAATTTGAAGTTCACATGTAAAGTATTTCTCAAGTTATCGCGCTGACAAAGTTTCTTTTGTTTTAGCCACTGTGACCTTGATCCTTGACCTTTTGGCCCCAAATGCAAAAGGCTTCTTAGGATTGCCAAGGACAATCCACAAACCAATTTGAAGTTCATATGTAAAGTATTTCTCAAGTTATCGCGCTGACAAAATGTATATTGTTTCAGCCACTGTGACATTGACCCTTGACCTTTCGGTCCCAAATGCAATAGGCTTCTTAGGATTACCAAGAACAATACACGAACCAAATTTGAAGTTCATATGTTTAAGTATTTCTCAAGTTATCCCGATGACAAGATTTGTCTGGACACACACACACACCCAGGTTTACGTTACATACCTTGTGTGGACATTCCTTTGTTTTCGTGTAGTTAAGAAAACTCGGTACAAAAAATACCTTTACTTAAACTGTGAAAACTCTTTCAACCCAATTTTTTTTCTATGATTCCCTATAGTATTTCTCTTCATTCTGCTACGGATAAACCTAACCTAAAAATGCCTTTAAACCTGTTTTCCAGAAAGGGCAAAACGTTATGTGGACACGGCTTAGTCCACATAACGTTAACACAACCTGCATTATGTGGACCTCTTTTGTTCACAAGTCCACATAGGGAATGTAAGACAAACTCACACACCCACCCACCCACGGAAGGACAAGGCGGAAACAGTATGCCCCTTCGGCTTCGCCGCGGGGCATAAAAACGCCTGAAAGGGCACCCCCTAGCACGTCCAAGAAAGTTAGACTATTTTTAATTTAAAAACCATTCATCCAAATTTTACCAAACTTACCCTTAGATATTATATAGAAAAACGTAATGACTTCGTGAGGTTTTAGGATCATGACGTCAGCAAACTGGACATTGCTAACGTATTATTTAAGAAGTTACATAATTTCTCGAAAAAACCCAATATTAGACCAAAAAAGAAAGGCTCCGGTTTCTGCTATGGAGCTTGCCCCAAAAGTGGTGCGGCGACGCGGTTTTTTTTTTTTTTTACCTGTTTTTTTTTTTTTTTTTTGGCTTCAAATGTCGGCTGATGACTGCAAATGGTGCCCGACTAAACTTAGTGCAAATATATGGGAGTCCAGAGAGGCCACATAAAGCTTGTTCTCGGTCATAACCCCATCTAAAAACACGTTAAAATTGTGCAGCAGCAGGATTCCAGTCAAACCAGTGAGTTTGGCGGTTTTGAGACATCATCTTGTATTGAAAAAAAAACTTTTTCATTTTGCCGACGCGCATGGCTGCGGCGACGCGCGCGCATACCAGAAACCGGAGACTTTTTTTTTTGGCCTTATTCCCTCCTTTTCAGTCAGTAACACATTACTCCCCCAAGTCCCAACATCCATCTAATATAAATCCAACAGTACACACTGCAAGGAATGGACGCAGGCGCGGTTCTACGGGGGAGGGGGGGGGGGGGGAGCTAGGGGGGCTGTAGCCCCCCCCCCCCATTTTTTTTTGTCTAGCCCCCCAAAATAAATTCCGTAAAAAAGAAAATTGCATTAGCATAAAGAAGGATTGTGATGTACATGCGAACGGTCTCCGCCTAAAGAAGAAATAGCTGTGACAAGGGTACATTAGTTAATATAGCGTGAATGATTTTAGGATTTTATTGGCGCTCCCCATTGAAAATATGGCATGAATCCCCCCCCCCCCCCCTCCCCACCTATTGATTTTCGGAGGCCTGAGTGTCTGGAAAAATAACCGGTCAACATATCAGCACGCCTCCCTGAAAAAGTTCTGGATCCACCGTGCTAGCCCCCCCCAAAAAAAATATTGGTTCTAGAACCGCACCAGAATGGACGTATATTCTGTGCACATTTTTATGTTTATATGCCTATATATATATATATATTAAACATATGAGAAGAGCACTTTCAAGAAATCCTTCATTGGGCTGCCCCTAATTCCCCTCCCTCTCCTTGTGATCCCCATAGTGTTTATAATACATGCACAATTAGGAAATGCCGCCATTGTAAGTATACAGGGCGAGTGAACAAAAAAGGAAACCCAAATGGCGGGACCATTTTCTTAATAACGTTTTGCATGTAGTACTTTCAAAATCTAGGATATGAAAGCCGATTCATAAGCTTTCTTTTAGTACAAGAATCATTCAAATCACTCATATGTACTTTTCAAGTTACGGAATTTTAAACACAACCACTGTTTTAAAGTTCTGTCCACGTATCACAAAAAATGGTGTGTGTTCTTTCAGCAAAACGAAAACAATTCCAGCGCATCCCCCTATATGTGAATTGTTTTCGTTTTGCTGACAGAACTTTTAAGACGGTGTTTGTGTTTAAAATTCTGTAACTTGCAAAGTGCATAAGTGATTTGAATGACTCTTATACTAAAACAAAGCTTATAAATTGGGCTTTCCTATCTTGATTTTGAAAGTGCTACATGCAGAACTTCATTAAAAAAATTTGTTCTGCCATTTGGGTTTCCTTTTTTTGACTCACCCTGTGTAAGTTACCGGTTACTTGTAGACAATCATAACAATTTAGATATGATTTTTTTTTATAGCCGCCTACTTTAAAATGTAGCTCCACCCCTAAAGGGCAACAATTAGTCTTGCAACCGTTTAAACTTATCTTTACAGTGTAT